ATATAAAAAAATCAGGTTCGTATTTTAAAAAATATATTTCTCTAGATAAAATTAGAATAGAAATAAAAAGTAACATAATAACGATAGCTGTGGCAGCTGCTGACGTCTTCGTTGATATACAACCCTGTTCAATTTATTTTTTAAATATATTTTTTTAATAACCATTACAAAAAAATGCAAAATACTATCCCTTTAAGGATAACATCAGAAAACAAAAACTAATTAAAAAAATACATGAAACATTGCTTTTTATAAAATTTGGCAAAAAACATCCGTCATGAATTTTCAACCATTATATCATGACATGAGATTTCGGTTTTTGCATACAAGCGTGCCTACAAAATTATGCGCTTGTGACAAAATATAAAAAAAAAAGTTATGCGTGAATTTTAAATGCAACGCCCCGTATCGATACGTATCTAACAACTCGTTTTTTATTATCTCAATAAAATACAGGTTATTTTATTTAAAATTCACACACACATTTGAAGTTAGGTTGCATTTTTCATAAAAAATACTACCTGTCAATGAAAAACGGTGTGTTATTTTCTCGTCCGTACCTGCCCTTGTTCAATACAAAAATATTTTTGTAATCATATTTGTTAAAACTAATAAAAATTAAATGAATTTTTGACCAAAACCACTTTACTCACTTTAAAGAGCTGATTTTAAAAAAATTAACTATTAAACTAAAACCTTCTATTGTTTTTTGAAATATTTTTCTGAAGTATTCGCTCTAAAATGGCGTCAGTACATCCTGATTTACATCGCGATTTAAACAGAATCATTGGTAATCAACGTTTCTATTCCTGGGTGTTGTATAAATAGGTAATTGATGGATTGCTAAATCTTTTATGCTCTGAGAATAGATACGGGCAATGTTTTGCTTTTTGTCAATGCCACTATCACGGCCGCAAAAACGCAGTATCCACCGCCATTTCGGTCGTACTGTTTTGTACCGTTTTAAACGAGCGGACACTTAAATTGAGATATTTGCCAATTAAACTAATTTAGGCTATACAATACATAAATAAATCTAATCAGTACGCAATCGTAAATTACCATTACAGTTAAACGGCGAATTTTATAGTAGTAATAAAGTTTATTTATGGAAACGGCCATCCTTCCAAACATGAATTAATGACTAATTTGAGGTCCTTAAGGGTTATTATTTCGACATGTTTCACCTTTTTTTCCTAGTTTTTACCAGTATTTGTAGTAAAATTTCTAAATTCACACGGTAGATTGCGAAATTTGGTTTTCATTCTGTACAAAGCAGAAACAACTTATTTTGGGAAAACACATCAAACACCCTAGACTAAAGAACAGAACTACGAAAAAATGTTTTATTCGACGCTCTGTAAAATCGTTTGGTGTTAATTTGCAAACAAGATTACATGCGGCATTCCCATATCAAAGCAGTCGGTGCTCTTTGAATTGTCCGACATTTTAAAAGTTAAAGAATTCGCCTGTTATGAATAAAATTGACCCCTGCCCCCGATTATTACCATCACTGTACGGCTCGCCGCCTTGTTAACTCATAATCAATTGGGTTACTTTAATTACGATAAATAAAGCACTATGAACATGGTTAAGTTATTTGTAACGAGGTTTGTTGACAAACGCGTTTCGAGTATCCGGAAAATTAATTAATCAGTTGGAATGTAATTTCTACAACTTTAACATGAAATTAGTTCTCAGCACCATCTTAACGAACGAGATTAAACATTTGTTCGTATTATTATGTAGCAAACAAAATGTTCAGGACGTTGTATTGTTCAAAATAATACTCCCTTTTAGCAAACAAATCCAATTGCAAGCAGGACCTCTCCTACTCAATGAATAGTAAAGACATGTGTCGTATTATGCATAGAAACTAAAATCTCTCAAGTCTAACTGATAAAGAACTAAAAAATATTGGTATTAATTTATATTTCTATATATTTATAAATTATTTATATGATTTAAATAATGAAATATATTGCGGAAAAATTTAACGCATCAGATATTGATAATGAATGGTAAGCAGTAAGAATATCCTCTTGAATATCTAATGCAAAAAAAAATTGTCCAATTACGATATAGTGGAAAAGAGACTTGGACAACTACTGGTAGAACCGGTTCTGTGCTATGCTGCGAGGTTAAAACACTAACTCATTGAGAAAAGATAGGCAAAAACCTCTGGAATTCAAAAAATCTCTAGCGATGAAGTTTATGCAGAATGTAACAGATGGTTTGGAAAAATGGTTCAATTATGTATTTACTCAGAATGCTGGACAATCGTTGGGCTCATTGAAAAGCGTCCAGCAGGAAGAAAAGAGAAAGGCTCTCCTGGAATAAAGGAATGGAAATTGGAGGAAGATGTTAAAAACATGAAAATGGATATTTTTCTGCAGTTTATTAGATATATTGTATCTTTTGAAAATCAAAAATAGGAATGTCCTATAATAGTAATGCTCTCTTTTAGGTTGATGATGGTGTCCCGAAACCTTTCAGAACATATATTTAATAGCATATTAACAAATTATGATCAAATTTGATAAATGTATTACATACTTTTTCTACGACCATTAGTTTTGGGCACTTGCAAAAGTGCTTAAAATCTACCCAAAACTTTTGATCGCTAATTAAAATACCGGAAATGCCCAAGTGACTTGCGACAGTGTTTAAAGAAACTGAAGTCTTAATTTGACACTTTGCGCAAGCCTAACCAGTGCGTAATTGTGTATTGCGGAGTAGGGAGTTGAAAAAAAATAACACGGGTCTTTTTATACATATTATACGGCAACCCAACCCAACAACAATTATTTTTGCCACCTTCTTAACCGCCTGTGCTTAAAAAATATAAAATTAAAAATCGTTTTCCCTTTCCCTCATGGGTATAGCTATCGGATATTTTTTGACGATAAAATTTACACATCTCACACAGCTATGAGATTTTTGTTTAGGATAAAACATTGTATACACGAATCTACACAGCAACACAATTTTTGAAAGTTTAATGCTCTCTTGACATGTTGACAATATCCCACATATCTAGTAAACAATATTTTATACCAATTGACCACAAAATAAAACACGTATCACGATTTTATAATTCCATATGATATTCTTTTGCTGCATAAAACAGGTAATTCATCTAATTTAATTTAAGTGATAGTTTATAAAAAAGGCATTATTACGAAAGGAAGTAAATATACTATGATTAGATAGATATGTTTGACAAAGGCATGCTGAATACAGTTTAAGAGAGGATCTACAAATATAGTTGTGTATAGTGAGAGAAATTGTCATCAGCCAATCAATAGTTATTACATTTTTACTGGCGTTTATTATTTTATTTAGCCAATTGCTGTCGCAACTTTGATACGTTACTTTATCTGTGGTATTATGAACACATCAAATCTGCGTCAATAATATTCGCAGCCTCGCTGCAAAATGAGCTGCGGTTAAAATTCGCTTTCATAATACCTACGCATCTGCGTTGCTGTGATTGAACGTCGGTCGATTTTGTTCGATTTAAGAAAAATGATTTCTTTTTTTTTTGCGTAACCTCGCAAACGTAACGCGAGTTAGTTACGTAAACGATTCGACGGCGTATTCGCGATACGTTATACCGTAAATGTTGATGGTTCTAAATATGGCAAAAGCTCGACCGTACTGGTTTTAATAAAACAAACGCAATCCAGACTATGCTGAAATGGTAAACATAACCGTAATGGGAACGCATTTAATTAAAACAAACATTCCGCGCGAACCGTATTTGAACGAACGAATATTAAATTTGACCAAAAAAAAGTGGTAGATATTCCGGATGAAATCTCATTTACCGATAGTGAACTATAAAAATATACTTGCAAACTATTCATACACAACAAAAGCGCCTAACCTAGTAAAATCCGTAGCGTTAAAATGTTGGTTAACGCTTGGTTCACCTTGAAATCAGCTGAACTTAACCATCACTAACAGCCTTTAACGGGCTGGTCAACGTTTTGCCTGGGTAACTTAACCAGGCTTTTTGTTTTTATAATGTGTTTGGTTTTCTTGCAAAAAAATGGATTAGGGTCATACAAAATTTGAATAGTTTTGAGATAATGAGGTCAAACACCATAAATTTTGAAGATAGGCTATCTAACTAAACAAACCAAATCGCCATAACGAAATTTTTTGATTTGACTCGGTTGTTTGGTTTGTCAGATGTTCGTACAGATTGTCGAATATACAGCAACCTGTTTAAATCCAATTTGTCCAAATTTGTACACTTAGACAATCCTAGTCGTAGGCAGTTGAAAGACGAGAGTTAGCGAGGTCCAGATTTATCAAAGTTTTCAGGTGATCTTGTAATTGAGAGGATCTAACAGAAAGTTCTTCATTAATGAATATCAGGTGAATGCTTAGGGCCTAGGGCGTACAACTTGCTTATTTCGTTAGATATCTCCGTCGGCCAGTAGTAACGCTAGGGTAAAATTTGGAGACGGTTGTCTTGAACGTTTAACCGTACGTTGATACTATAATGTTTTTTAATTTTTCAAAGAAACTTCCACAGACTACTGTAATATTTTTTACAAAACTTCTGGATTCCTCTTGCGTAGGTTTTTGCTGAGTCGAACTTGCTAACGTTTCGCCAATCATCCTTCCAAACTTTCAGTTTCAGTCAAGCTCTGAAGAAGCCAACAGGATGATTGGCGAAACGTCAGCAAGTTCGACGCAGGAGGAATCCAGAAGTTTTGTAAATAGTATAATGTTTTCTTTTTTATTGTGCTACAGAAATAACGAATGTCTATGTTTCATTTATACAGATTGTACGAAAATGTTTTCTTTGGCATTACTCAAAAGCAGTTAGAGTCCATCGGTCCACGTGGAAAATTTCCATTCATTTGAGTTAAACAAGAAATGCCGAATATGAATACTCTAAAATGCGCGTAAGTTTTTCGTCTTCGTCTCCTCAGATCTTCTTATTACCGTATATAAATGATAACTAACGTGTATGTTTCATGCAGACTTATTCCGGACTGTTCTGCGTGGTCGTTAACCCCTACAAAAAGCTGCCCATTTACACGGAAAAAATCATGGAAAGGTACAAAGGGATCAAGAGGCACGAAGTACCGCCGCACGTGTTCGCCATTACCGATACTGCCTACCGGTCTATGTTACAAGGTAGATAAAATAATTTATTTCCTTAAAATGACGCGGTCTGTCTGCAGCGTAATTTCTAGGAAATTTTACGTAAACGTGTATGCAAAAAAATTATTCTGGCAAACATTTTGATCTTGGTAGGTTTGAAAAAGTGGTGGATTATTTTGCTTTTTCTTTTTCAGAGAGAGAAGACCAGTCCATACTTTGTACCGGCGAATCTGGTGCCGGAAAAACCGAGAACACCAAAAAAGTTATTCAGTATTTAGCCTATGTGGCCGCTTCTAAATCACCTAAGGGATCAGGAGCGGTACGTACTTTAATTTCGTTTTCACCTTATGCCGCGTGCAGACCACACGAACGAGCATAAATAAGAGCATTTTTTATGCTAAAGCTCAAGTAGTGTGCACAAGTTTGTTGTTCCTCGTCAGCAAATCAAATTTTTCTTTACTTTTGTCGTAAAATAATAAAAATGATTACATTATTGCATTACTTTGTTAATTTTAATCTCGAATTCGTAAATGGCTTCAACTAGAAATAAAATTAAATGAAACATTTCGCTAAAAAGTTTGCATATGAATTGACTGGTAAATCATATACTGTTCGTCTGTTATTTGTAATACCAAAACTTCATGTTCGGTTATAGTCCAATAACTTCTATAGGGTCAAAATGTCAAATAGTACTGACCGACAGTATCCGTCGCACTTTATCAATGAAAACTTCCTATTAAGGAAAATACTAAACACAATAAACAGGTCATAATTATGTCAATAGCAACTGTTACCAACCAAACTTCTCGGTTTTCCTGTATGATTCATCATGCTAGTATTTGATATTAAATTCGATGTCGTAGCAATTCGCCGAGACCTTATCAGCGATAAACTTAGAAACGCTACGATAAGAACGAAAACATACGTTGTCTGGGACAAGTGTTTACTTAATTGGTTTTTGTTTTCCTTTTTAATTGAAATCGCCATTAGCCATTGATCCATTGTTTGCTAAATTGAAAATAAAACCATCAATTTTTATTACCAGTTTTCCACTATTTCGCTGCAAACCAAATGCCCACTTGTTGTTCAAATTAAATTAACGATTTTTGAAAAATATATCGCGTTATATGAGCGCACACCACTAAAACTTTTCTTCACAATTTCTTTTTTATACAAATGAATTTTATCAGACCAATATAACACATTGCAAATTTTCGAATCTACGTTTTGCTATAATTTGACCAAAGGTGAGCATGCAGATGTTTATTTTCATTTTTAGGAATAAATCTTAATAGTCGCTAATTGCTAAGGAACGAATAATTATAAATGTTATTCGAGAAGCATTCCGGTGGATTATTCACGCAAACCGTTCATTAAAAATTTGCTACCAAGACGTAATTGGTACCATGAGCTCTATTCAACAACGATAATGTTACTTCGTACTTGCCACTCATATTAACTAAGCAAGGTATCCTATTTAAAATGTTGCCGCCGACATCTTAATAAAGCACAGAGTTAACTCTGATAGAGTCGAATTAATAAACAAAAATAATGGCCAGTTTGTGTGAATAACATTGTACAATACATATCGCCTATGTTTAGCTGGTGTATATTATTTCTAATGTTTCTTGACGTTTGTTTCGTAGCCTTCTTTAGTTTTCATTCGGGCCATCGTTCCATATACAAACTGTTGAAAAATACCCCGTTTATTTTTTCTTCTTATGTAAATATTAATATTAGCTTGTTAAACGTCAAAAAGCGGAAGGGTTGCGGTATATACCAAGGCTGAGGATAAGATTATTTAAATATTTTGGATTTGGGATTAAATACGAACGCAGGTGTAAGGTCCCATGTGGTTAAATCTGGATTAAATTAATTACCTACAATGTCAGCACTGTCCCCGTAAAATAAAACAATAAATGAAACTATATTGTAATACCCATTTTAGAATACATGGTTCATTGTTTTATTTTTGCTTTTTTAAGCACGCGGGTTTTGTATAATAATATTTATTTCAATTTTTTTTCTTTGCATGGTTTCATTTTGGGTGGTGCACAGCAAAAAGATCTAATCGTAAGTAGCTTTTTACACTGTTTTTTTTATAGTTATACTATTTTCTAGTGCTTTGTTTTGGTGTGGTATGGCGAGAAGTTGGATAAATAGTTTAGGAAATTTCGGTATCTGGTTGACCAATGTTGTGTACATAGTTAGTATTTTATGGGAGTGTTGCACCAGTGGCGTAGATACTAGAAAAGGTTAGCAACGTGTGAAAAAATGATAAGGAGTAGCGACGCCACTGAGCTGCACCTCGCGATCATTCGATTTGCATTCGGCAAGCATGTCTGCCAACATAAAACAAAAACATGATATCATGCAATTCGCGCGGTACGACCATTTAAAGTCGGCAGAGTACGTTAAAGGGCACTAGAGTAAAATAGGAAAGCAATACGCCGGTTTCATGCGGCAATTTGCCGGACGTGTGGGCGTCTATGAATTAAATTAACTACATAATTTATAATAATGACGATTACCATAAAACACCGCGCCGAAGGTTTTCAATTATTTTGTTGTCCCATTTGCAATTCTGAATCGGGTCGTTTTTTTTATACGTTTCGTCCCTTATTAAAACTACCATACATTGCGTGTATAAAGTATGGCCCACCGCACACTGGAACGATCTAATGTGAAAATTGTCAATTTATTTAATAATATTTTTGTTTTTTTTTTTATACTTAGAACCACAACCTGTATCTATTTGTTATTACATAAACGCTTGCTAATCAAGTATATATAAAACATAAAAATCATAATAAAATCTTAAATTCACTAAGCTAAGTCGTTGGTCGATTTGTTTACATATTACCTTCAATGTACGTTTATTTTTTTTGCTCTTTTTTTTTTTGAAAAATTCGACTTGACATGTATTACTGCTGATAGCGTGTAAACATGAATTATTAAGAGTTAATAAATTATATTATTATATACATACGGCCTGTGCATGTTCCAACATGTTAATATGTATGCTTTCTTCTTCTTGTTTGCTTTTAAATTTAAATGTGACCTATACATATATCATATTTGGCAATAAATGAATTTAAAAAAGTAAATAATTAAATTATAATAAGGAAGTATGGAAATACTAATACAGTATTCTAAATCAAATGAAATGTCCCGACTAGATCAAAAGATAGGAAACACTATTCGCCTAGTTTGGCAAACACTACTATTAAGGCTGACATAATACAGAAATTGCAACATCCAGACCTGTCTACAGGTATAGCTAATATATAGGATTAATTACAATCACGAATTCAATGAATATTTCCTTAACGGACTGTACACAGTGCGAATTCTATTGGAATCTGTGCCATTCGATTGTCCCATTTGTTGTAAATAGATTTTGTTTTTAAATTTATAGTGCGGTGTCAAATCGTTAATTTCAGAAGAATATAAATGTTGGAGCGTATTTTTATCCACACATGGCGAGATAATTTGTTACACGTGAACTTGGCCATAAATCGAATTTCATTAGAAACTTTCTCTTCGGTTTCGCAGGCGTTCAATTCGATGTGATTGTGATTGACGGCCCTCAAATTGAAGACCTTGTTGGGATAAAAAATTAAGTCGCCAGATCGCCAGGGATAGTGTTCACGACAAACGATCGTGCATGTGTGGAGAAAATATGAATTTTATTGGTTAAGATTCCGATTTATTCCGTCCTATGCACTTCGTTTTTTTTAGTGAATTTTATTGGTTAAGATTCCGATTTATTCCGTCCTATGCACTTCGTTTTTTTTAGTATTGTAAGCTCGATGCTCAGTCATTTATGCTAGCGTTGTTTGTTTTTACATGCGGTCTTAGACCATACAGAGCCCTACCAGAGAGTTCTCGGTACGTAATCAATCGTGTTTGTCGAGTGTCTTTACTAGCGTTGTGTTCTAGATTGTCTGAATTTTCTGTCAGTTCTCATTTCCTCTGTGCCTATATTTGGTATTTCAATGCGCACTGGTAGTCCGAGATTTGCCAAAACAAAATAAGACGAACTCGTGAAAAAATACGCTTATTTTGATACAACTGTAAAGATATAAAAAAGTACATATCCAATTAATTAAAAAAGTATGAAATTATGTGTGTAACTTAAAAACTTTTAAAACGGTCCCAAACTTATTTAATTAGGGTAAGAGATTAAGTAATAAAAGTGGGAGCAGTCACTTGAATAGTATTGACAATAAGTTTTTAAAACGCCATTTTAGTCACGAGTTTGATTTCGTGCGAGCGAAGCGAGTGCTTAATAAATGAGTGAATGAAGAAGTTTATTAACGTGTTGCCCATTATACATTTTCTACGACACTGTGGGTACATACATGACGATGAGGAGACCCTCAAAATCGCTTCCAAACCGGTGACTAAAGTACCAGAAATATCCAATGAAACTGACGTCTTAAAATGACACATTCCGCACTCTTAATGGGTTACTAGCTTCCCCCACTCTTATTAACAGAGATACCGCAAATGCTTCTAACTTGTAACTGATATTACCCAAAAGTGCGTTAGTTTTATCTTGGGAGTAACGCCGTCTAGAGGCCATCTTAAAATTATTTGTGAATATGTTTTATGTTACCAATGAAATATTTTGTCCTTTAGGAAAAAGAAGATTATTCTACCTACTTCCTATACATTTTACAATGGTGAAACGGGGTTTATAATTAACCATATTTAGCGGGCTCCACAAAAACCACTGAATATTGAAAGTATTTTCCAGATACCGGTCAAACAGAAACAGCAAATGTGGACTCGGAATTTAAAAACAAAAATTGGTGATTATTTTTTATTTTAACTGCCCCGAAAACCAAAACTTACATACAAAAAAATATAAGAGAATTTTTAACCGAATTATTTAAGATATTTAAAAACAATTGTCAACTCGTTGAAACGGGAAAATATGCAACACATACCAGTTTCCACGAAAATGTTTTTAATTGATCAAAAGTTACAATTTAAACGTTCTATGAAATTTTGAAATTTATGTTTTAAACACTGTAGCAAAAAGTAACAACACAATAATAAATTGTGGGTCGCATATTATGCAAAAAAACTTTATGGTTTTGTGATTTGAATTCACGCCGGCTTGTGAAATCGTGAAATTTTGTGACCAGATGATTTGAGACAGAGACAGAAAATTCGCCGGCACCTTAATCCCCATGGTGTTTTGTTGCTTTGAGTTTTAACCACCCGACGCGATTCGAAGCAATCGCGTTCCGTATACAAGATCGCCAACACCACATGTGTTTAATATAATCTTTTTTATGTGTGTGGTTTTTTTATGTGGCTGCATTTTGTACAGGGCGGTCTCGAGCAGCAACTCCTGCAAGCCAATCCGATTCTCGAGGCGTTCGGTAACGCAAAAACCATCAAAAACGACAACTCGTCGAGATTCGTAAGTCGCCCTCCCGTCGCATTGTCCCGCACTCTCGACGGTGTTTTTTTTTAGGGCAAGTTCATTAGGATTAACTTTGACGCTTCCGGCTACATAGCGGGTGCCAACATAGAAACTTACCTATTAGAAAAGTCACGTGCCATAAGACAAGCCAAGTTCGAGAGGACCTTCCACATTTTTTATCAGCTCCTGGCCGGCGCATCTCCCGAACAAAAAAGTAGGTTTCCTCCATTCCCGTAACGTTTCGCAATCATCCTGAGCTAGTGAAACTGAATTGTACTCTGTACCTGTCTAAAGACTAAGACAAATAAACTTATCGGCAGTTGCCGAATACAATCACGAAAGCGGACATAAAATTTTATTCTATAAATACTAAAATTCGTGCATAGAATCAATTCTGCTGCCAACGAAATAGAAGCAACCATACAATCTCAACCGCGATCTTTACCGTTCACCAATATGGGAATCAGTTATCTGAGACGATGTTTATGCTCCTCATTTAGCTCCGCCCCCCTCAAATAAACAGGCCCAGAGTAAAATGCGAGCCAGTTTCAGCCAAGCTCTGAAGAAGTCAACATGATGATTGGCGAAACGTTAGCAAGTTTTGTAAATAATAAACATATGGCAAATTTTTACAATCGCCAATTTTTCGTCTTAGCTAAGAAACTACACCATTTCTCAAGTATAAAAAAAACAGTAATACCAAATAGCAGCTTTGTATCTTCCATATAATTGTTATAGCCGTACGTTATGGGAAGGAAATAATTGTAAATTTTGACGTCCGGTTTTTCGAGTTCCTTTTCTGGACAAATTTTTGAGGAATAAGTCAGAATTTCTGGATAACAAGTCAGAAACAGTTTCTGACTTATTCCTTATTAAACTAAAAGCTGTATTTAATTTTTGGTGGCCTCTCAGCGCCTTCATAATAATATAACAAAGCGCACGTTAAAAACAATAAAGTAAATCGAAATTTGGAGAACTGGTACTATTTCATACTTTTCTTTTAACTCGCAGAGGAATTCATCCTCGAAGAGCCCGGTTCCTACAATTTTTACCGCGACGACAATCACTTGGTACCCGGCGTTGACGACGCCGCCGAATTCCAAGCCACAGTCAAGAGCATGAACATCATGGGTATGACTCAGGAAGATTTCAGTGCCATTTTCAGGGTAGTTTCCGCGGTAATGCTGTTCGGTAAGATGCAATTCAAGCAGGATCGCAACTCCGACCAGGCGACGTTGCCCGAGAACACGGTCGCGCAGAAGATCGCCCACCTCTTGGGTTTGTCCGTTACCGACATGACCCGCGCCTTCTTAAAGCCCAGGATCAAAGTCGGTCGCGATTTTGTAACGAAAAGTCAGACGAAAGAGCAGGTCGAATTTGCGGTGGAGGCGGTGTCCAAAGCTTGCTACGAACGCATGTTCAAGTGGTTGGTGAACAGAATTAACAGGTCGTTGGGTCGTACGAAACGCCAAGGCGCCAGCTTCATCGGTATTCTCGATATTGCCGGTTTCGAAATTTTTGACTTGAACTCGTTTGAGCAGCTCTGCATCAACTACACAAACGAAAAACTTCAACAACTGTTCAATCACACCATGTTCATTCTCGAGCAGGAAGAATATCAAAGGGAAGGTATCGAGTGGAAATTTATAGATTTCGGTCTCGATTTACAACCCACGATTGATTTAATCGATAAGCCCATGGGTATTATGGCCCTTCTGGACGAAGAATGTCTCTTCCCCAAAGCCACCGATAAGACCTTTGTCGAAAAACTAATCAATGCACATTCCATGCATGCAAAGTTTAGAAAGAGCGATTTTAGAGGCGCCGCAGATTTCTCTATCATCCATTACGCCGGAAAAGTAGATTATTGCGCCACCCAGTGGCTCATGAAGAACATGGACCCCCAAAATGAAAACGTCGTATCCCTTCTGCAAGCTTCCACCGATCCGTTCGTCGTCCACATCTGGAAAGATGCGGAAAACTTGGGCCGCGCGAAAGGAATGTTCCGAACGGTTTCCTATTTGTATAAAGAGCAGTTGGCCAACTTGATGGTAACACTGCGTAACACTAATCCCAACTTCGTTCGTTGTATTATCCCTAATCATGAAAAACGCGCTGGAAAGATCGACGCACCTTTGGTGTTGGATCAGCTAAGGTGCAATGGCGTCCTTGAAGGGATCCGTATTTGCAGACAAGGGTTTCCCAATCGAATTCCATTCCAAGAATTCAGGCAGCGGTATGAACTTCTCACACCCAACGTAATTAACAAAGGGTTCATGGATGGTAAAAAAGCTTGTGAAACGATGATCAAGAGCTTGGAACTAGACTCAAACTTGTATCGCATAGGCCAATCTAAGATATTCTTTAGGGCCGGCGTTTTGGCTCATCTAGAGGAAGAAAGGGATTACAAAATTACCGACCTGATTGTCAATTTCCAAGCCTTTTGCAGAGGATTCCTGTCCAGACGAAACTACCAAAAACGAGTGCAACAGCTTAACGCGATCCGCATTATCCAGAGAAATTGTTCGGCGTATCTCAAGTTGCGCAATTGGCAGTGGTGGAGATTGTACACGAAAGTGAAACCCCTTTTGGAGGTGACCAAACAAGAAGAGAAATTGATGCAAAAGGAAGATGAACTCAAGCAAGTTAAAGACAAGCTTGAAGTACACATAAAGGCGGTACAAGAATTTGAGTCCAAATACCAGAAAGCTCAAGACGAAAAGGCTGTACTTCAAGAACAGTTGCAGGCGGAAGTTGAATTGTGCGCTGAGGCGGAAGAAATGAGAGCCAGATTGACTGCTAGAAAATTGGAATTGGAAGAAATTTTACACGATTTAGAAGCCAGGATTGAGGAAGAGGAAGAACGAGTTTCCACTTTATCCAACGATAAGAAAAAACTACAGCTTACCATTCAGGATTTGGAGGAACAATTGGAAGAGGAAGAGGCTGCCCGACAGAAACTCCAATTAGAAAAAGTCCAATGCGACGCGAAAATCAAAAAGTTAGAAGAGGATCTGGCCCTTTCAGACGACACGAATCAGAAACTGCTCAAAGAAAAGAAACTGTTGGAAGAGAGAAGTAATGACTTAAGTCAAGCTTTAGCCGAAGAAGAAGAAAAAGCCAAACACTTGTCAAAATTAAAGACAAAGCACGAATCAACCATTGCCGAATTAGAAGAACGTCTTTTGAAAGATCACCAACAGAGACAGGAATCAGATCGAACTAAGCGTAAAGTGGAAACCGAAGTCAACGATCTAAAAGAACAGCTTCAGGAGAAACGCACGCAAATTGAAGAGCTGCAGTTACAGTTAGGCAAGAGGGAAGAAGAACTTGCGCAAGCTATGGTAAAAGTGGACGATGAGAGCGCCCAAAAAGCTCAAGCCCAGAAGGCGCTTAGAGAACTAGAAAGTCAACTAACCGAGCTACAGGAAGATTTGGAAGCGGAAAAGGTAGCAAGAAGTAAAGCAGAGAAAATGAAACGCGATTTGAACGAAGAACTAGAAGCTCTGAAAAATGAATTATTGGACTCGTTAGATACAACAGCGGCTCAACAAGAGCTAAGATCCAAGAGAGAGCAGGAGTTGGCCACTCTTAAGAAAAGTCTTGAAGAGGAGACAGCTTTGCATGAAGCCTCACAAGCCGATATGCGCCATAAGCATTCCCAAGAGTTAGCCAGTCTTAACGAGCAGTTGGAAAATATTAAGAAGCAGAAAGCTGCCTTTGAAAAAGCCAAACAAACTTTAGAGGCAGAAAATGCAGATTTGACAACGGAATTGAGGAGTGTGGGCGCCAGTAGGCAGGAAGGTAACATATTAAGGTGAAAATTGCGGCAGACTTAGGTTTCACTTGAATTTTATAGGGGAAAGAAGGAGAAAACAAGCTGAGAGTCAACTCGCTGAAGTTCAGTCCAAATTAGCTGAAGTCGATCGATCAAGGGTTGAGCTTCAAGAGAAAACAATTAAACTTCAACAGGAAGTTGAAAATGTTATGCAACAACTTGAAGAAGCTGAATTAAGGTACGAAATTTCTATATGTGAGTGTATAATGTTTGTTGTTTGAAAATATATTTTATATAATTTTGTGAAGTTTGTTAATATAACCGCTATGCGCTTGTGCAGTTCCATTTTTTCAATTTTAGGGCATCAGCTGCTCAGAAGAGTCAGGCCACCATTGAGTCTCAGTTCTCAGAGACCCAAGCAGCATTGGAGGAAGAGACTAGACAAAAATTGGCATTAAGTTCAAAACTCCGACAGCTCGAGTCGGATAAGGAAGCTCTGCATGAACAAATTGAGGAAGAAGAAGAAGCAAAGAAAAATCTGGAAAAGCAAATGGCCACTATGGTTACCCAATTGGCGGAAGCCAAAAAGAAAGCAGAAGATGAAGCAGAACAGGCCGCCATATTGGAAGAAAGCAAAAAGAAATTGGCCAAAGATTTAGAAGCTCTACAAAGGCAGGTGGATGAACTGACAGTTGCCAACGACAAACTAGAAAGAAGTAAAAAGAAGATTGCCGCAGAGCTTGAAGATGCCAATATTGATTTGGAGACTCAGAGACAAAAGGTGTCTGAATTAGAAAAGAAGCAGAAAAATTTTGACAAAATCTTAGCCGAAGAAAAAAGCATTAGCGAAAAGCTAGCATTGGAAAAAGATGCCGTGGAAAAGGAAGCCAGGGATAAGGAAACATTGGTGCTTTCTCTTAAACGTGAACTGGATGATTCTAATGTTAAAATTGATGAGTTAGAAAGAGTTAGAAGGCAACTTCAGGGAGAACTTGATGAATTAGTCAATAACCAAGGCACGGCGGACAAAAATGTTCACGAACTTGAAAAAGCCAAAAGATCTCTTGAATCCCAACTGGCAGAGCTTAAGACTCAGAATGAGGAACTAGAGGATGAATTGCAACTTACTGAAGATGCCAAACTTAGGTTGGAGGTGAACATGCAAGCCCTGAGGGCTCAATTTGAAAGAGACATACAAGCTAAAGAGGAACAAGCTGAAGAGAAGCGCCGAGGCATTGTTAAACAACTTAGGGACTTGGAGGCAGAACTAGATGAAGAGCGAAAGCAAAGAGCTGCAGCAGTAAGTTCAAAAAAGAAACTTGAAGGGGACATAAAGGAGTTGGAAAGTCAAATTGAGTTACAGTATAAGGTAAAGGAAGATGCGTTGAAGCAACTAAAGAAATCTCAGCAGCAATGTAAAGAAGCGATTAGGGACGCGGAAGAGGCTAGGGCTGCCAGAGATGAGTTGGCTGCGAATAGTAAAGAGGCCGAGAGAAAGGTCAAGACTTTGGAGGCAGAGGTTCTACAACTAACTGAAGATTTATCGAGTTCAGAGCGGGCGAGAAGGGCGGCAGAAGCTGAAAGGGATGAACTATTAGAAGAAATTAATTCTAGCAACAATAAAGGTTCTCTACTTATTGATGAAAAACGCCGCTTAGAAGCAAGAATAGCTACCCTAGAGGAAGAAATTGAAGAGGAACAGAGTACAAACGAAATGTTGCAAGACCGTGCCAGGAAAGCCCAGTTGAGCATTGAGCAGCTCACCACAGATTTATCAAATGAGAGGTCGGCTAATCAGAAGATTGAATCAAACAGGCTATTGCTCGAGAGGCAAAACAAAGAACTGAAGGCGAAATTGACGGAACTGGAGACAGCTCAAAGGACCAAAACAAAGGCTACAATTGCTGCTTTGGAGAGCAAGATCAGTAATCTCGAAGAGCAGTTAGAGGTAAATGAATTTATTGTGTTGCGGGAATCTTCCTTTTAATCAGATTAACCATACTTAATAAAATTTACAGGTTGAGGCCAAAGAAAGGTTGGCGCAGCAGAAGATGGGTCGCAAGCTGGACAAAAAAATAAAAGAATTGGTCATGCAATTGGAAGACGAACGTCGCCACGCCGATCAATACAAAGAACAGGTAGAAAAGGGTAATTCGAGGGTGAAGGCGCTCAAGAGGCAGTTAGACGAAGCTGAAGAGGAAGTGACCAGGGAGAAAGCGCAAAAGCGTAAAGCACAGAGGGAGTGCGAAGACATGCTCGAATCCCACGAGAGCATGACGAGAGAAATCAATAATTTAAAGAGCAAATTGAGGTAACTGACTGCCACCATCACATTCAAGAAAATTTCCTAGCAACTTCAATATATTTATTTTACAGTTCGATAAAGTGAATTTCATTAAATCAATCCGTCATTATAAAATCAAAATTCGGTATGTTAAAGAGTGATCAAGCTTAATAATGTTTTAATTGGCTGCAATTTTTCAAAAAAAAAAATACACTTGCGTTACTAATTATCGGCTGTTTAATAATATGTAAATGGATCTGTCGCCTTTGAGACGCTACTACCAAATCTGTATATTTTGTTGTAACATATCTAACTTTTACGGTAAAGCGTCAATCAAGTGACTTTTCCCCATGACGAAGTTAAATTACTAACAACAAAGTCGCAAAGACGGCAATTTTCAATGTTTTTCTTCTATCGCCCCTCCTTATTTAAATTATGCCATAATTAAAAATATTCTGGAAAAAGACTCACTTTCTATATTGATGAGAAGCACTTCTACATGCAGCAGAAACTACTCTTTCAGAACCTTAAATTGATGTTTATATTCCCATGTTCCTCAGTTTTCTTGTCCAAAAGATATATGCCGGTAGTTCCTCCAAGACTCGACTTGTGCATGTGTAGTTTGAGGTTCAGTCACGTTTTAGGTTTCCTTTTAGTTTGTAAAGCGCACATTCATTCTAAGTAAGACTCACATAACTCTTCTGTCAATTTTTTTTTGTAACAGTAGGGCAGCCGTGCTTCCTTTTATTCTTTAAAATGGTTTTGTTGCGTTCAATATTCAAGCTAACCAAGATACGTAACAATTGTTATGCATTAACCAATAATAACCAGAGCTGATGAGTTTCGTCGAAAGTATTTGATGCTGTGCAAATGCTTGAGTTGTTTGCAACTATCCGTGAGTTTGATTGGCTAATTCTATTTTCGTTTTGGAAGGTGGCAAACTCGATTTTAAATTTAGCACTTTTACGGATACTTTAATAGGCGAGGTGCGGGTTCTATGGGTCTGTCGTCATCCCGTTTGAGTTCAGCGAAGAGAGGTTCCATTCAAACGAGCGGGAACGGTTCCGGAGACGATTCCACAACTCAAGACGAGGCAATGGATGGCGACGACGCTCCGAATTAGAAATTATCAGAAAAAAATATTCGCAATCGGGTCGTTTTTCACTGAGCTATTAAAGTCATGTTTTTTTTTTTATCAAATTAACAATCGTATTAGGATACAGATGCGCTTTTGTACATAATGTTAGATTGTCTAGTACTTAGCCAGTGTCTTACGGAATATTCAGTTATTTATTAAGTCTGAATTTGCTTGTAAAAAAGTTATTTATTTCACAGATTGAGCTTGATTTGGGTTTTTTAAAAAACGACAATTATTTCGAAATAACTAATGCTTTTTTTTTGTATTGCTGGTATTTAACTTGCATTGGATTTGTATATGATATGGTAACTCTATATATGCAATTAAAACGGAACATCGTCAACCTTATAAAAGCTCATTAAAGGAAAAATACACTGAGAGTTTGGCTTACAAGAATGTGCCTATCTGCTCAAGATGATGTTGATTTACCTAGCTCGGTGTATTTTTAAAACTTAACTTTACCAGTACTAGGTCTAGAATTTTGAAAAGCATTTTAAAGTCATTTTCATTACCGTTAGACCATCTTGATCCAAACCTAAATAAGCAAATGCTGCTAACAATAATAATAATTAGAATTTAATGTTTTAAATTAACATTTTGATACATATTTTGTAGAATATATTTTTTGTAAAGACATCTACACAGTTTAGGCTGTCACCGGTTTTGATATGATGCATGTTTTTGTACAATAAAACGAATAAAATTTTTGCATTTTGTATATATTTAAACAAGAAACTATATATTGTCTTAGAGTATTGGGGTCAGGGCTGGCATAATTATATAATTTAACGAGTTTAATAAATCTACTTAAGCCGATTGCGATTTTTCATTTCACATAGGCTAGAATTTAATATTGTCTATATTGTATAGAATGGCAGCGATCTCAACGCTTGACTCGTTATTTTCGTAAAGATTTAATGAGATCAGCAAGTTTTGAGAAAATTTTGCTGAATGATGGCTTCGAAGATGCCCATATTAAATCTAAAAACGCAGGATAAATTTAAGTGTTCAAAAAAAAATATCTAAAATTGGGACCAGGACGAATCTCTTAATATTAATATTAATCATATAAAGAAAATGTACTTTGTAGCTGTGCTCTTCAATTATGGAAAGTAAACCGGAAATTACGTAGTTCTTCCGAAAACGATTTGCTTCCATGGATTAATGATGGATTAACAATTCCTTCCAGAATTTGGGTGTGTTTTTTAATAGCAAACTTCGTTTCGAATAGCACGTGTCCTCGGTTACTTCAGAAGTTATGGGAAACTAAAAACTATATATTGAATGATATTTTGTATACAGAAATCAAACAAAGTTTATGCGGCTCCCTTATTCTTTCCCTTTTAACTTACTGTAATGTGGTATACTGGCCTGCCCTCTTCAACAAAAATCAGATAAGACTACAGAAGCTGCAAAACAGTTGCCAGGAAATTTCATCACATTTCACCGTATTATCGCGAATCCGGATGGCTTAAATTAAATCAAAGATTCTTTCTCCACTTATGTACACTAGTCTTTAAAATTGCGCAGTGCGAACAGCCAAAGTATCTTTGAAAAACGTGTCAAGGGATCCGATATTCATCAGCGCTGAAAACTATCATAATTCTCTGTACACTGTCCCACGGTACCGTACTGCCCTTTATCAGCGTTCTTTCAGTTATAACGTCACTAAATATTTCAACTTCATTCCAGATTACCTCAAGTGCTGCTCGACCGCTTCCGATTTTAGAAAGCATCTTAAAACTATTCTACTCTCCAATTAATGCTTTTTTTTCCTTTTTACTGTGCTTATTTCTGTATTTCCATGCAGCACCTCCAATCCATTAAAGTGACTAACTATAAAAAAAGTGTTCGAGTTTTTTGTTTATTAAAATGTGTATAAATGTATTTTTACAACCTCTCTTTCACAGTGTTACAGTCTGATTAATGTAGATTAATTCATAAAATCTCTTCTCTCAGGGTGGTGACTAACTTTGTTAGATCTCCTCCCTCCTATCTTACACTGTCTTACTTCTTTGATTATAGATATATAAATAAAGACCTGTTATTATTATTAACTAGCTACCTGTACATTTCTGCTCATATAACCGGCGATAGATACGCCTACACGGAGTAGAAGGGTAGGGCCCGTTAAAAGTATAAAAGCTCACTGGCGGCGTATATTAAAATTAAAAAGTACCTGAAATGGTGTACATTTATTTGTATAAAAAATCGACCGAAAACATTTAGATAGCCAACAGCCACGCTATTTTATATGTAAACCATGACAAAACATCCTTTTATCTTAGAGTTTAGTAAGTTTCATAACCGGGCAAGGGGAACTTCGCGCTGAAATTTTCCACTTCCTCCCGCAGGCAAGCAACCCTTCCATTGAACTCTTCACTGTGAACTGCAGCCTTAAAATCAACCAATTTTGGGCCGGATTTTTCGCCGATCTCCTTGCCCAATTTAAGACCGGAATCGATAAAATCAACCACCACATCTATATCTTTTTCTACTAAGCCCCGAGTGGTTAAAGCCGGTGTACCTACAAATGTTTCATCAATATTGAGAGCTGATGGACAAAAGGAAAAAACCGCATACCTAACCTGATACCGGATGGACTCTTTGCGCTTTTATCTCCGGGCACTGTATTTTTGTTGCAAGCGATAGAAATCTCTTCTAGAATGTATTCAGCCTTCGCCCCTGTGAGACCAGCTGACCGCACGTCCAGTAAAAGCAAATGCAAATCAGTACCGCCTGTTACCACCTTATATCCCTTCTTCTGCAAACCATCGCTCAATCTTTTAGCGTTGTTTAATATATTTTGCGCATATTGCTTGAATTCCGGGGTATTGGCTTGTTTCATTGTGGTAGCTATTGCTGCTATTGTATTTTCGTGAGGCCCACCTGTTAAATGAAATTCAAAGAATTGTTATGACACATTTTGTATTTTTTTCAACAGCACGAGAAAATATTACCTTGTAGACCAGGGAAAACTGCTTCATTTATTCTATTCTCGAAATCATAAAGGATTTTCTCGCCTTTGGCGTTTACGGATTTGACACCTTTTCTGAAGAAGATAACTCCAGCCCTGGGTCCTCTTAAGCTTTTATGTGTAGTGGTTGTCACTATGTCACTGTACTCGAAGGGATTCGCAGTAACGCCTGAGATTATTTATAGTTAATTGCGAAAAATTGTCTCGATGATAATCGGAATACCCGCAGCAACTAATCCAGAAATGTGTGCCATATCGGACATTAAATAGGCGCCCACCTCGTTGCAGATTTCTTTGAACTTTTTATAATCCAGGGCTCTAGAGTAACAGCTCACTCCGGCGATAATAATTTTTGGTTTGAAGAGACGAGCGGTTTTTAGTAGCATGTCATAGTCAATAAGACCTGTCTCTGGATGAACCTAACGAATAGTAATTGGGAAAAGGTTACTAAATCAAATAAATATATACCTTATAAGGCATCGATTCAAAGAATATTGAAGTTGCCGAAATTTTTTTAGTCGGTGTAAAGAACCCGTGAGTTAAGTGACCGCCGTCAGGTAAATCCAAACCCATGATTCGTCCATGAGGTTCGACAATACCTACAATCATCAGTATACCAAAATTCTTAGAAATTAATAATACAAAAACAAACCCGTTTACCTGTATAAACTGCAAAATTGGCTGGAGACCCCGAATATGGTTGAACATTAACTCCCCATTCTTCGGGGTCGAGTCTGTAAGTTTCTAATGTCCGCTTTTGAGCGAGACGTTCTATTTGATCTATAAACTGATTTCCTCCATAATACCTTTTTAAAAATATATTTGTTTAAAAACAAAATATCAAAATTTAGTTGCTTTTGTTCCTCACACAAGCATGCACCAAGCAACAGGTTAAGTTGCAGTTAAGCTGTTTAAGAAGGCTTTAGTAGATTTTTGGGTTTGTTAGAAAATAAATTCTATAAAAAAATAAAATAAAATCATACCTATCCCCAGGAAGGCCTTCGGCATACTTATTGTGCAAACAGGAACTTAGACATTGTAATACTGCCAAAGAGGTAAAATTCTCAGATGCAATCATTTCTAGACCTCTACATTGTCTCTGTTTTTCCTTCCCGATAATTTTAAACAGTTCTGGATCTGAATCCCAAACATTTTCGCTGAGCAACTTTGAACTCATTCTTAAGGAGTGCACAATTACTAAATTTTGTTTCTGCAGAAAAAATAAAGCAAGATTTTAGAAGAACGGTACTTGAGATAATAACTTAAGTGACGCGAAATAAACGTATAGCGGTACGTTTTAATAAATTTATACACAACAAAAATATTGTTGATAACCCTTTACAAATACATACAACAGGTCAAAAACAGATTTCACAAGCTATGTTAAAATAAAATGAAGCAATAACTAGTCATTCAAGTAGATAATTTTCGAAACCAATCAAACAAGTTCAATTTGTACTCAGTAGGTGTATCAAAGTTTTACCTACCCCCTCCAGCAATAAGTGTCTACTATATGCGGGCAGCAAGGTGAGAACGCGCGAAACCATTTTGGTTCAAAAAACATTCGTAACCACAGCTCTCGCCCAACATTGGATCCTAAAACTGATAAAATGGATTTTTAAGAAATTCAAATATGTAATCTGCTAAATAAGAGTTATTTAAACTTAGATACGAAAATTAATGTTATCGAAAATAAACTGACCTTCTTGGCCACAACAAATTTATCTCAAATTCGCCGGTGGGGTCTGACGTTTATCAAAATCTTAACGCAGTGGTTTGTATGACCCAGTGTGACACAAACATCAATATGCACTGGGCCTATAAATTTAGAAAAGTATTGTGCCTCATGTGCGAAATTTTAATTACCAGACATGAAAAACCATTCACTTCCATTTTGTAATATCGAATATTTTTTGGAGAAAATGAATTTTAACAAGGGAATTGTGCAACACTTGTGCGCAAAACAATACATTTATCTCATATTACCATGACCTTAAAGCTAGTGATCAATGATCATGGATAAAAAATATTAATTCTATGAATTTGTTTCTAGAATGCAAACCGGAGAGGATGCTTCCCACAAACGGTCTTAAAGGTTTGTGATGTGATGTATTCCGTCCAAGTTTGGTAACTATTGGTAACTCTTAAATCAACTTGGTGCAACGGTGAATGTAACGTTTCATTGCCGATGGAGACTTAAAATAAAAGTCAAAATTTATAATAAAAGTATTATTTGATGAGGAAAAATCTAAAAACCGCAATGGATAACGGCAATTTGCAAAATATCCCGGTAAACGTGCCCAACGCTCTGTAAATTGTATAAAAAAAACAATATCACTTCCAAACTTATTTGGCTGAATGATTCTGGTAATTTTAGCCCTAAATTTAAAAAAGAATAAAAAAAAAGAACCTGACTTATTGGGACCGAGGGATGGCTCGGCAACGTCCTAGACATTAGGTTTGCCAAGTGGAATTGCCGGAGGTTGCTTCGATTTCCTCAAAAAAAAATGTCGTTACCATTAAGAAGGTATCTTAAGGATTTTGATTAATACAAACTTTGCAATATGTTTGTAAGATGGCCGTTTTGCCTGACCAAATAGAAAGTATAGAAAAAAAATAAAAAATACTTCTATTTTCTTAATACAATTGAAAGCTTGAAATTTAGTTTGCTTATTTTAAGGATTAAAGTGTTTTTAGACCTATCTGATGACTGCTGTTTAGAATTTGTGAACATTTTCTAATTTATTATATCACTATTGTTTTCTTGTTTTATTCAAAAACTGCTGTTTACGTAATTGTGACTAATAGAGCGATATGACACGCTCAGTTTTCTACTGTCAAGGTTAAATGAAGCATTTCGAAACGACGAGTCTTAAATCCCAATGCTACTTTTGTACCCGCCCAATAGGCAACCTCACATATATATGTTTTCTAGACCCACCTGTAGATTTGTTTCTTTAAAATATACAGTGAACATCGTTAATTATTCGCGATATCCAAGGTTGTATTCTGAGGCGATATATGAACCAGTATCACAACATCAATAAAATACCAGGATGGGAAAATGAAAATTTAGTTCTTAAATAACAACACAAAAAATAAAAAATTACACAACCGTACTAAAACACGGGCAATAGAACTTTAGGAACAATGCCTTCCACGACGTTTCACCATCAACAATGGTCCCCTGTGTACCAAAGATAAAGTAACCTCTTCCTCTAGCCTGGCCAGTTCAGTTTGTTCATTTTTTTCTGAAAATTCAAACAGTAACTTTCCTCTGTACACCAATTCAATGAATTCACCTTGCTTCGGCGCCAACCAGAAATACCTCTTGCTGAACAAATTCATGAGCCCTGGCGTTTTGCGATACTGTTTATATAAGTTGGCATGTTGCATCACAGTTTGCAAACACAGCAATTGTAGAGTGAGCTTTTGCGTAATGCAGCAGTTGGTACGGACCGCCGATTTGGCAGCCGTGGAGCTTACCATCGGATACAAATCAAGACCTTTAAGATCACGGAAAGCAATGCCTAGTGGTCTCCTATCCAAGTAGTATTCTAAAGTGCCTTTGCACATATCGAGATGCATCCCTATTATCCTATCCTTATCGAATTTACGGCTATATTGGCGTTTAAGCTTGTTGTGCTGGATATATCCATGGTAAGAATATCCCCAGGAGTGCTTGTCCAAACCCAGCAAGCTGCAAAACTTAAACTTACCATTGGTTAAGTTTGCTTGTTCAGTACCCACGCCCAACATCTAAAACCAGACCGGAAACATAAAGAAATTCAAAGAGGGCCCAAGGTTGCTAACCACGTCGGTGCCGTACATACGAGTCAGTATTTTAATTTCCCAAAAGTGGTGCATATTTTGCTTCAAGATGGTATCCCCGCGTATTGCAGCCGTGCCCGAGCTATATATTGGATGAAACACAATTTCGTTGCGATTTAGCGAAAGCCTAATGTTTGAGGCATCCTCCTCCTGGTAGTACCAGCGCCAGTCGAAAATCGGTTCTGGATCGCGACGGTTACTTCTCGACTTGAATTTCTTATGTGACGAACTGGAATCCGTTACATCGCAATTGACACGGTCGTTTATATACAGTTTATCGAATTCGCCCGACATTGCGAAACTTAAGAAATGTTTTCTCCGGTTTTCATTAAAGTGAGGTTAGTTTCTGGCGCTTGTTAATTGGCGTCAATACCTCTGATAGTTTCTTTGTAATTACAGTATTGGGACGATAGTTCAAAAGTCACGTTAAAAATAAAACTCCGTAAAGTTTACATTCGAGTATATTTAAAACGTTACACAGACAATATAATAAGATTTTTCAAAAAGTGTGTTTTTAATAAGCTGATTGTCGAGACTAACACAAGAAAAACGTAATCTTGGTAGAATTCACGTCCAAACTGCCTTAAGTAAGCTATAATCTTCGCTTTATTAAAATATAAACGAGATATTTGGCCAACGCTATTTTTGGTACATCAAGAATTGATTGGAAAAACCGCTGTTGGGTCTTTTCCTTTATATTCGTCTTATATATAAGAATACAATATAAGAGAAATCTTACTCTGTAAAGGTTACACAATACTTCGAACAAATACTTACGTCGTATTAAAGCATTCACAATTTGTGCATATGTTTATAATAGTATGGATAAAAAACTTGTAAAAATATAGAAATATCCGAAGGAAACAATTAAAAATAATCTTTGGCATGTATCAAACAGTCTTCCGAGGTCGTCGTCCGCTAAAGCTCTGTACATTAAACCTATTTACATAACCGAAACAGTAACGACGGTCGCTCACCCAGATCGCAGCGAGAGCGTAACTTAACCTAAACTAAAAATCCTGAGAGATGGTTCCCGAAAGGCAAAAGAAGAAGAAAATTTATTGGTCAAATGAAAACCTCCTCGCCATTAAAGAAACCGAAATGGAATAACGCCATCTATTACCTTACTCAGGTGACGGCTTTCTCGTAGGACGGGGGAGGCGACTGATCTTGGATAATATCGATCGTGTCTAGATCGCTCTGCGGAGACAAAAGTATAGCTATGTGATAAGGAGGCGGGGGTATTTCCGACGGGTCTTCTGTAGAGTCTTGCAGCGGCGGAGGCGGAGGCTCTTCTACCACTACTTGGGGCTGAAAGAGCTATGACACCGAACGTGTGAATAGGACATTTGAGTCAAGAAGAATCAAGGTACCTGCTGGTTTTGTTCCGTGTTATTGGTCAGTTGCTGCCTGCGAAGGCGTGACTCCCGTCTTATTTCCCACAAGTCTTTAAATACAAAGAAATAGCTGCCCGCAATTAACAGCAATATGCCAGATACAGACGACACTACCATGAAAGTAATTTGCCCCATGACAAAAGGGTACTGAAACCAAAAAATGTCAGCCACTCCTAATTGGTGGGCCATACCCATATAGCTATTAGATAATATAGTGGCCCTACTATAGTAAATATTGACTCGCCACAGGTGGCTATGATATTTTTGTACAGTTGGGAATGATCTTTCGCACATGCATCACTCCCCAACTGACTGAATTGAAACAATGTCGTAATTTTTCTGGAAAATTGATTTATTTTTATGTTTTCATTTTCGGTGTTTGGTGATTTACTTCTTACCTTTTTTGTGTTTTTGAGAGAAAAATACCCTCCCACTGGAAAAGTTGCTGCGTTTCCTGTCAGAATTGTAAGGAAAACAATATGTGTACATTTACAAGGGTAAGTTTTGCCTTATGTACAAGTTAATTTATAAGATTTAAAGCTGGTTTCTACTTAGAAAAGCCAGAGTGAGGTCTACTTATCCGGTCAGGGCCTCTATATCTATAGTAGCTATATGGTCATACTACTCACCCCATAAACAAAATAATTGGTTACTGCTACCATGACTATCAAGACGAAAAACATATACACCAGACATTTACATTTGGATATCATCGGGAGCTCTCCAATGTCCTCTAGTGGATCAACCTGCCCTTCAGTAGACCTCTCAGAGTGTTGCACCGGCGTCGTTGCATTGAAATTATAGTGCATCGGCTGCACGTGGTTTCCGGAAGATCTAATCGGGTGATGGTATTGTTGGGGCCTGCCGCCATGGCGTAAACCGTTATTGACGACACTATCGAGAGATTGGAACCGTCTGACTGGGGTTACCATCGGGCGACCCCTGGTGCCCTGGTGGTGCCTTTTATAGTAAGCCGCGACCACTGCGGGGGGTATGGGACGTCGGAGGGCGCAAATGTGGCCCTGTCTCCAGCCCTGCTGACTACTTTTGTTGATCCAAAAATGCATTAGGCAAGGCGTGTTACACACCGTTCCGCACTGGTGTTTATATTGGCGCCGTTGGTCCGTTGTGCGTTAAGATGCTACCTGACATCGCGATTCTTTTCTCCGACTTGTTAAGGGCGCACTTTGCCGTTCAATGTTTTGATTCGTTTATTATGAACCACATTTTTAGTGCCACTGACCGACGCCGTAGATAGTAATCAGTAATCTTCTTCGTATCGATCGGATGGCCATTCACACGCGACGAAGAAGAAGAGTTAACGCGAAGAATACAAGAATGGTCGGTTACTTTGCGTCAGCTTTCGCTCTGACGTTAAGCTCATTGACGTTGCGTGACGTTTAGAAGTTTATCAACAAATCGTTTACATTTTCCCAGGAAAAAGATGGGAAACGTGGACACGAAGCTAAATTTCCGCAAAGCGGTGGTCCAATTGATATCAAAATCTGAGGTGGGGCGTTATCGAACATTGCCTTTTAAATATCGGCACAAACGTATGCCAATGTATTAAGGCTCTTTTTTTTTTTCAAGCCCGTAGACGCAAGCGATGACACATTTTGGGAGCAGTTTTGGAGCGAGAACGTGTCGAACGTGCAGGATATATTTACACTAATACCAGCGCAGGAAATTAGACAGTTAAGGGAAGATGCTCCCGCAAACTTGGCCACCCTGTGCTACAAGGGCGTTGAGAAATTGGTCCAAGCTGTCGATAGTAGCTGTAGGACACATCGCGAACAACAAATAGGTGCCTCGGACGGTTTTCTCGTTTGCAAGGCGAATTACTCATTTGATGTTTTAGTGTTGAATTGCACAAGGCTTTTGACGCGAATATTGCCATATATTTTTGAAGATTCAGAGTGGAAAGGATTCTTTTGGTCCGCGCTGCCTAGTCAAAATGAAGACGAAGATCAATCTGTGCCGTTGGCCCATTCTTTACTAAATGCCGTTTGTGTATGTATTACAACCTCAGAGAGGATTGTTCAGACAGCCACAAAATAACTCAACCAGGACTTTTTTACTCAAAGCAGACCTGGTTAAATAATTCTTTAATGCAAATACAAAAAAATAAATAATTGTTAAATTACATGGTAGTATTACAAAAATGAATTAAAATTTTGGAAAATAAAGTTGAATGTTGAATGTGGAAAACAAATTTTAAGTCTGAAAATGAGAGAGACATGAACAGACTTAGTGTATATATTTTTTCTATTTGTCCATTATTACTATAAAGTTGTTTTATTATTTTAGAAAATTAAGGGTCAAAAACATTTGCATGCATTTTTTCAAAAAAATTACTTTACAGGCCTAATTTGAAAGCTTGCTTTTACTTAAGTAAGAGCTATTTCTAAATAGATATTGGTTTATTCTAAAAAGAAAATATAACATTTTATTTTATCAACTGAACTAAGCGGAAGACATAATTTGTTGTTAACTGTATAGCAACATTTTCTTTAGAATTTTTGTTTGCTCTTATTTTTTTTCTTTTTGCATCTGATTTTCCTTTTATGTTTAAACTTGCTCCTTTTTCGGAGTAATTTTGCCTTTGATATCCATAATGTTCAAATTATCTTAAAGGTAAATTGGGTTGCAGGATCTCCTATTCTGTCCCGACTTCACCGTAATAGCGGGCAAAAAAAGTGGACCAGTAAGTAAGCGACAAACAGTCGTCACGCCTGCCTTAAAACCCCGTCCATCCCACAGGACAAAGCGGAAGATTTGGCCGTCATTGACAGTTGCGAGTACATATGGGAGGCAGGGGTGGGGTTCGCTCACTCCCCGCCCCGGAGCCCACCGTTCGACGCAAACCGCACCGAGTTATTGAAGCTGCTGCTGACGTGTTTCAGCGAGACCATGTACCAACCGCCCGCCGACATATCGCAGAGTCCCAACCGGTGGATCATGTAAGTATGACATCCACTTCACGCGCGCCCTCTACCGAGATTTCTAGGCACCTTACGTCGTCCGAGAACAGGCACGCTTTGCCCATGTTTACATCGTTGCTAAACACAGTCTGCGCGTATGACCCGGTGGGTCTTGGGGTGCCCTACAACCACTTGTTGTTCAACGATTCCTTGGAGCCGCTCGTCGAGGCCGCCCTCCAGATCTTAATTGTCACGCTTGACCACGACACTGGGTCGTCTACCCCCGCGGAAACCGATGACGTGAGTCTATCTCTCTACATCTCTGTCACATTACCATCACTGGCGTCGTGAAAAAACCCTGTCTCTTTTAGACTTCGATACCCGACAACCTGTTCATCAACTACCTGTCGCGGATTCACCGCGACGAAGACTTCCAGTTCATCCTGAATGGGGTGACGCGACTGCTTAACAATCCCCTCGTTCAGACATACCTGCCCAACTCGACCAAGAAGGTGCACTTTCACCAGGAATTGCTGTTTTTTTTCTGGAAGATGTGCGACTACAATAAAAAGTTCCTTTACTTTGTGCTGAAGAGCAGCGACGTTCTTGAGGTGCTCGTGCCGATCCTTTACCACCTCAACGACTCGCGAGCGGATCAGTGTAAGTCGACGAGAACCCGCGGTACGTTCGACCTACCGGTCCCGTTTCAGCCCGCGTAGGTCTGATGCACATCGGCGTCTTCATACTACTGCTGCTCTCAGGCGAGCGCAACTTCGGCGTGCGTCTCAACAAGCCGTACACCGCGACCATCCCGATGGACATACCTGTATTCACGGGCACCCACGCCGATCTCTTGATCATAGTGTTTCACAAGATTATCACGACAGGTCACCAACGACTACAGCCGTTGTTCGACTGCCTCCTCACCATCCTCGTCAACGGTAAAGCATATTTTTCAAGCCCTAATGTTTGAACTATTTTCTGCGCGCGCGCGCGTTGCAGTGTCGCCTTACCTGAAAACGCTGTCGATGGTCGCGAGCACCAAACTTTTGCACCTGCTCGAGGCGTTCAGCACACCTTGGTTTCTGTTTTCCGCGCCCCAGAACCACCACCTCGTATTTTTTCTCCTCGAAATCTTCAACAACATCATCCAGTACCAGTTCGACGGCAACTCGAACCTTGTGTACACCATCATCAGGAAGCGGCACGTTTTTCACGGCCTCGCGAACCTGCCCAGCGACTATGGCACCATAGCAAAGTCGATCAACAAAAAAGCGAAGAAGCTGCAAGACGAGACTAACGCGCCGGAAGCGGCGATGGAGGGGTCACACCCGGCGCTGCCGGCCGAGCCCGGCACGTTAAAGGTCTGACGTCGGCGGGGCGTCAAAGCTTTAGACAAGACGTTGCTGTTTTAGGCCACGTTGCCGGATACGCCGCAGATCGCACAGATGACGGAACGCGAGTCCGCGCACCCGACGTACCAGCAGTTGGATCAGGTGCCGTTGACCAACGGCGTGGCAACCACGCCAACCAAAACAACGGAGCCCAAAGCGTCTGCGTCGGATCCGGAGCAGAGCCCGGAGGGTTCGGCGTTTACGCGATCGGTCGCGACGGTAGGTAAGTCGACGCGAGGGAGCGGTGTTGTTACGCGGATGTTTTTTGCAGAGGAACAGCCTGAGGGTCAGCGGCAACAGCCGGGAGAGCCACAACGGGCAGTGGGTGCCGACGGGCGAGTGGGTTCATTCGTGGAAGAGCAAACTGCCACTGCAGACGATCATGAGACTGCTCCAGGTCCTAGTGCCTCAGGTGGAGAAAATATGCATCGACAAGTGAGTATATTTGTTTTCTCTGACGGAGTGAACGGATGTTATGTGGCAGGGGACTGACGGACGAGAGTGAGATCCTAAAGTTTCTCCAGCACGGCACCCTGGTAGGGTTGCTGCCTGTGCCGCACCCCATCCTCATCAGGAAGTACCAGGCGAACTCGGGCACGACCACCTGGTTCAGAACGTATATGTGGGGTGTCATTTACCTCCGCAACATGGAACCGCCGATTTGGTATGACACAGACGTCAAGCTGTTTGAAATACAGCGGGTCTAGTTTCCGTTGCCATGCCGCTTTTGAATTTTGAACAGCGGAGTCTCGGGGTGCCGCTCGGCGGACTTCAAGGAAGGGCGTGCGATTTTGTCGCTTTAAATGTCGTTTTCGTTAACTTATTCTTAGGCTAATAGTCGCCACCAATCACGTTTTTACGTTTAACATTCCCATAACAGACCATAATCAAACGAACGATTTTAATTTGCATTTGTAAAAGAATAATATTTATTGTCGACTCGTCAAAATAAATAACGTTAAGTCTTGACAATTTTATTTCTCGGCGAACAATCCAGCGGTCCCAGAGTGGAACACGAATTTCAGCATTGGTGACGCTTAAAACAAATCCGGCAATGCGCGAGGGCGGATAGTTCAAAAGCCCATGGTTTGAGGGGCGTTTTCTCGTTAAATTAAAAATATTTAAAGTGAAAAAATAACACATTTACCGATGCATGAAAAGATATTCGTCTCGAATCATGGTAGTTCAAATGTACCAGCGTTTATTCAAGATAATGGTGCTGACTGAATTGAATTGAAATTCGCGGGCGGGGCATTTTCTCACCAAATTAAAAATATATAACAATGTTCAGAATCCATTGTTTCTATTTTCAATAACCCTTTCAACTCACAAAGTCGGGTTAGAGCCCTTTTGGGATCGGTAATTTAAATTTGCGCGTTCACCCAGTCTTTCAATCCCGCGTAACCCATGTGATGGCTTGTGCGCAACCGCACAGGAAAAATAAGACGTTTTTGACATTGAGATTCAAAAAGACACTTCCGCGTGGTCCGGCGCCAGAAACAGAGTCGATTCCGCAAATCCGCGAGTTTCACACGCGAGTGCAATAAACGGGGCCCCGTCCGGAACCGACGGCAGGAGAGCCTGCGGTCAGTCTTCACAGTGGGTCGTTTGCCTTTCGTGTTCGCTTTTTTACCATTTCGCATCCCAAAAGGGTTAAGTCAACCGTGAACCGTTCGACCCTATTGGGAACCTTAGCAAACAGGATAAAATGAGGAATTTACTGAAGCACGAAGCGATATTGCGCGGGCGAATAGTTCAGACGTCCATGGTTTGAGGAACATTTCCTAGTTAAATTGAAAATATTTAAAGGGTCCCGGATCATGGTAGTTCTAATGTACCAGCGGTTATTTGTTTAAAACACTGGGACCGATTGAATTCATTTGAAATGCGCGGGTAAGTAGTTCCAACCCCAGGATCTGCAAGGCATTTTTTCGCTAAACTGGAAATATATAGCAAAATAAAATACGGAACTTACTGAAGCACGAATTGATATGGCGCTGGCCAGTAGTTGAAACGGCTACCGTCCGAGTTGCGATTTTCCCAATAAACTGAAATCGATAGGAGAGTTGAGGGTCTCTGAAGTATAAAACCGTACAAAAACGCAGCACGTTAAAAACCTGATTTATTCGGACGGTGTGACGCGATTACGGATTTTCCCGCCCCTTCAAGCCGTCCCGGACGCGATCCCAACGCTCGAAGCGGACAACTAGCTCGCAGTGTTTCGTGTGGGGGAAAAGGTCCACGGCGACGGCCCTGACGGGAACGAGCGGTTCCCCGTGTAGCGACTTGGATTCGGGTCGTCCCAAGTCCGTGAAATTCTTCATCGCCAGGTGTGGATTGCACGACACATAAATCAGCTTGTCGATCTTTCCAATTTTGCGGATTTGCAGTACCGCTTTCTGATCTGAAAAAACCGTCGCGTTGACTTACCAGGATTCGACTAGAGACGGGTGAGAAACTCACGTAGTCCGGCCCTGGGCGGGTCGACTACCGCCGTGACGTCCCCTTCTGCTTTGAAACACACGGAACCGAGCAAGTCCTCGGCCTTGCCTGCGAAAAACTCGGCGTTTTCGATACCGTTGAGACGAGCATTTTCGTTCGCGTCTGCGACAGCCCCCGGAACGACCTCGATGCCGAGCACGCGCTGGCAACGCTGAAACGACCGACATTATTGGCAACGCCGAGCCAAGTTATTGCTATCGTAATCGCTTGATTCTCTCTGTCTGTCTGTTTTTGTGATAAAAATGTCCACCCACTAAAAACTTGTGTTTGCAATCAATACTGGCGGAATTAGCCTTGAAAAGATTAAAGCAATGGCTGGACCATAGTTTATTGTTCTTAAATACAAACAATACACATTTTGTTACCTTCGCTTTATCGAGAAAATCTCTACCTACCAATATTCAGACCTAGACTGTAAATGTAACAACTTTCCTGAAAGAATAGTATATTATGCAACAAGTGCGGTAATTTGGAATAAGCGAGCAAATAATAAAAAAAGGGCATAGCTTTCAAATTAAGAAAACAAGCTTTAATTGTTTAAACAAAGTTACTGGGCAAACATACAGTATCCTAAGAGACCATATTTCCGCCAAAAAAATATTGTTGATAATTGTTAACGTTTGATAATGTGTGTTATAATTATATAAATAATAATAAATATATAAATAATAACGTAATGTAATTAAAAATCCAATCAAATGTAAACGTTAAGTTAGTATATTGCGAGTACCGAACATCAATATCTCCCACTCGTCAGTTTCGAAATCAGCGTTTATGTAATAACAGAAATAATTAATATATACAGTTAATTTGTATGTAGAATTAATGTAATTGGTGATTGTTATTATTGAATATTATTATTGTTATTAAATGAATACGCAGTGTGCGAGTGTTGCCTTATTTACAAGTTAATTTCAAAGATTTAAAGGTATAGAACTCCCACTAACAATTTGCCATTACAGGTGCAGTTGATTAAAAATGAGAGCTCCCTACTTTTTAGAGCTCTTCTGAGTAAGAAGTTAATACCGTATATCCGACAAGCTTTTACGGCATTTGGCATATCATAGAACACGCTGTCGCCGCGTTTTAATAAAACGAAATTTTGCATTTGGTTTGACTTTATGTTTTGCAGTGGTTTTAGCGTGTTTTAATCTTATTCTGGAATACTTGTAAGGCCATAAATATTGTAAGCAACTGTAAAGTGTGTAAAAAACCGACTTCAAATTTTCTGAATTTTGGTTTATCACCGCTTAGACATTTAGACATGTTGCAACAACATATTGACGAGTTTTTTGAATGAATAGCGGAGTCTATCTTGTATTCAGGGTGAGGTTATACCTACCTGGGAGAAACACAATCCTATAGTCCCGGTGCCGCAGCACACGTCTAAGACCGTAGAGTCTTTGGTGGGGGATGCCAAGTCGAGGGCGGCGCCGTACAGTACCTCCGCCGCCCCCGTGTTGACCTGGAAAAAAGCCTCAGGCGAAATGTTGAACCTGAGCCCAAGCACTGACTCGGTCACGTGGGTGGTACCCCACAGATGAGTGGCGGGGGCGGGAGTTTCTCCTGCGTTCCTGGAATGAATATCTGGTATTTACGAGAAAAAAAAAAGTTCCCGCAACCTCTCACTTTTTGACAATCTCCTGGTAGTAGAGCGACGTGACTCGGGCCTCCTTACCTCCTCCCGTCAGGAAATACTCGACCAATTCCCGTTGAAATTCCTGGATGCGAGCTAATGGTAAGTCTTGGGGGTGAACGCCGACTACGAGCATCAGCTGATTGGGGGCGGTCCGAGCGCATAATTGCCGAAAGTGTCCCGTCTGAAACTCGGGATTGAACACGTCGAGGGCGGAGCCCCGCACGAAATCTTGAAACGCCTAAATGGGAATTTGACAAGTAAAGAATGGAAACCCAAGCTCACTTTGACGGCGATTTTCATTGCGTCCGGGATGTGCCTCAGATGGGCCACGGGACCAACACCCGTGACGCCGTTCACATAGGCGCCGACGCGAAAACCGACGGTGGCGAGTTTTGTATCTTCGTCCACGCCTACTGTGAACTCGCACTTGTTCCTGTAACTATAAAGGACATTTAATAATTTTTTAAAAATTGAATTTAGAAATTTCACAAACTCAGCGACTCTTAATATCTTGAAATAATAAAAATTTACATTTCATATACATTTCGCTATTTTGCTTATATAACTTCAAAAAATCTAATAGCGAAAAAAAACTCTCGAAACTCACCCGTCGATGACGTCAGAAAACTTGATGTCTAATAATTCGCACGGCAAACCTTCATGTTTAATCTTTTGACTGTCTATCCATTCCCTGAGTTCGGGGTTTTGACGGGCTAGATTGTTCCCGAGTTTGCTCAAAACGTCCTTAATCTCAGCCTGTTTGATCGCCAACTGCTCTTTGTAAGTCGTATCTGCCAGAGGGATAGTGGATAGCTTGATCCTTTCCTCCACTGTTATATTGTCCAACTTTATACGTTTTGACTCATCACGATTGTCAAAATCCTCATTGCGCTTTTTCACTAGAGGATCTGCACTTGGTTTTGCTTTCTATAATTTATAAGTCTGTTAGGCAAAGATACTAGAGAATACTAGAGATATAGAGGCCCCGTCTATGCTGATAATAGAGGACCTATATAGACATTCCTATTTTCATAGAGAAGGTAAATAATTTTCCGCGAATGCCTCTATATTTCACTCACCAACCCGCACTTTGTCATTTTCTTTTGAAACAGCGATTGTCATACACTTAACTCATTTTCCTAGAACATTTTTAAGAGATCTAGGCATATTTTGAGAAAATACTACCCTATGCCGCATCCAAACATATTGAAGATCTGTCGATTTTAAATCTTGCACATGCGTATAAGGTAATGTATGATCAGCATTATGCCACTAAGAAAAAATTGAGAAGGTCAATTCAGCATGGGCATACACGAGATTTAAAATCTCGTTAAACAATGACCTCATGGCATTCAATAACCAATATGGTCAATGACAATCAGTTGGATGGCATTTTCCACAGCAGTATTTTCATAAAATATGTCCAGATTCCCTTAGATCTTCAGGCAAAAAAGAGCTAAGTGTGTGAATATCCTTTGTTTAGAAGGAATAAGTAAAGGGCAGATTGGTGGGTAAAGACATGCACGGAAGATCATTCCCATCTCTTTGGAAATATCATAGCCATCCGCAGCTCATTTTTTACCCTAGTAGACCCACTAGATTATCTAATAAAATAAGCAAAAAAATGGAAAGTACGTAATTACAGTCGCTTGCAGCTGTTTTCCTTTCCATTTGAGCTCGGACACCACGTTCAAGGCGCGGTCTCTATCTTCCTCGTTGCGGAAGCATACGAAAGCGTAGGGGCTGTTTCGCCTTGGCAATTTGATTTTATTCGAGTTTAACTTCAGTTTCTCATTAAGCAATTTTCGGAATTCCTGGAAGCGGAAAGCGGTTAGCGATAGGCACAGCCGTAAACATTCACGCAGTATTACGCTCATCCCGTAAAATTTCGGTAAATTTTTAATCTCGATCTTGAAGTTCTCAGAGGAAAATTCACCCCTGCTCAAATATGCGTACGGGTCGGCCTCTTTCTTGGGTTCCTGGCTCGCCGCCGTCTCGGCCATCGTTAAATAAATCGGAATTTAAATCGAAATTAATTACAAACACACAGGAGAAAGTGAGGTTAAGTCATATTTTTGTTGCATTAAGCAAGTTTCCAATTTAACTAAGGATACAGGCACTCGCCAATTACTTTTCACAACATATTCTGTTCTTCTTTTTACTTCTATTAGGAGTATTTTTAGATTTAACCTCCGCTCGTTCCTAGCGGAATCCGTTGTATTCGTCCCAAAAACCTTGATATCTACCTTTTTTCTTTTTCGAAAGTGTTTGGTGATCGTTTTAAGTATTTAAGTACTGCCGGCCCCGCTGTTTTGACCGCTCACGCCGGTATGGCGGCCGGATGGACCCGTTTGGTCCGCGGGGGTAGCGGGGGATGCCGATTTTTGTTATCAAAGTTCTATATTATATAGCTTTTTTGTTAACCGTTGGTCTGTGACCAAAAAAAAATCCTTGACGGACGTCGGTAATGGGCGAAGGGCTATTAGTCTTGCCCAACTGTTTATCGAAAGCAAAGAGAAGAACAAGAAGATATACCGTGGTTGCCCAACAGTTTTTGTGAAACGCATCATTGAATTGAATTTGAATATACCGTGGTTAGGGAGCGAGGATGGCTCGGTTGGTATGGCGCTGACCTGCCAACTCGAACTTAACGGAGGTTGTTGGTTCGTTTCCCAGCGGGAACCTTGGGTGTTGTGTGCGTGAAAAAATTGTTATCGATCAATTTTCCTTGGCGGATACTGGAAAATGGGTGAATATCCTAATTTGTGATGAACCCAATTAAGCGCATAATTAAAAAAAAAACCTTGGTATCATAGTAGTCTTGCTCAACAGCTATCTGTGAAACGCATCATTGAATTGAATATACCGTGGTTTTTGGTCGCTGGGGAGGTTAGGTCGTTCGGATTATTGTTTTGATGTGGAAAACATTCTAAACCATGACGAAAAAACGAAAGCTATCAAGCTCGTCGCCTGTAAAAATTGAAATAAAAGAGGAGAACGTTGGCGCCAACGATTACTTAATGGCCAAGGGCAGATTGCAAGGGGTGCTGAAACAGCTCCGCGATCAAACATCTTCCGACGACAGCGACTCCTCCGAAGATGCCAAGGCTAAACCCAAGACGTAGGTAAAGTGAGTGTTAGCCTAGTCATTAGTTTTGATGTTTTATCTGCCGGCAGCGAAACCAAAAAGAAAAAAGTGGAACCAGTTCCTGTTCCTTACCACCACACCTACGTCATGAAGTTATATGACCGCAGCGTCGACTTGGCGAGGTTCGAGGAGGATACCCCGCTGTACCCATTGTGCCGGGCGTGGATGGAGAACCAACCCAAGAACCCGCAACCAATTATTAAGTAAATGATGCCGACAGGTTGGCGAACCCTTGCAACTTTTGATTCATTTTAAGGCGTCGCGTGTCGTCACCGGAACCCGACGGCGCCGCCACGTGGAACGGTGACGCCGTCGACGTGTCACGTCTTCCCCCGCCATCTCGGCCTTTTCAGGCGCGAATCCCATCGCCCTTGCCTGAACAAGAACAGATCAAGGAACGTGTCGATCTCAATTATGTATGTACAGGATGTCTCGCCTGATCTGAGGAAAATGGACTGACATTCCTTTTAAGGGACAATACTCAATAATTATATATGATTGCTCAGTTGGTTGGTTTTGCAAATTTTACTAATAATCTAACCGCGACCTACAGGGTGTTTTGAAAATACAGGACAGGTACTTTTACAGTAATTGTATAAAGATTGGCCCAAAATAGTCCGGGAAGCGCGTTGTTTAAAAGGAGTTTTGTATTTAATTTAAATATTTCCAGATAAAAGAGAGACCCTTGTTGTAGGACGAGAGCCCGCCCATCGACAAAGACGTTCTTATGAAGGGCCACCTGCAGCGCTGGGTCAAGGTCAAACGGAAATGGTTCGAGGCCGCGCAGGAAAATGACGAACGTTATGCACATAGTTTTTCTGTGTTGCAGTCCATTTACAACAAGTAAGGGCGGGTTTTCCGATCCTTTTTTTTTCTTCTTAAGTTTCTCTGATTATATTTCAGGGCCCAGGAAAATCTCGATTAATTGTGGTATAGCGCAATGATTTTTTTCAATAAAACCACAACTGGCACATTTAAATATTTATTTTTTTTCATTTTAAGTCGATGTAATCCTTATATAGAAAAACAAGGTTAATCACAATTTTCGTAAATAAAATATATAATAAGGGGAAACGAATCGAATGAATATATCGAAGTATTCGCGCCCACGACCGAGCGCGTAGGCGTAGCCGCGAGACAAAAGCCGCACGCAGAGGCTTCTAGGGCGGAAGAAAATTAAAATGCGAATTATCACTCTTTTCTCTGCGCCTATTTTTCCGTCAATGAGAGCTCGAGGGCGCGTTCGAGCATCTTCTCCTCGTCTCGCATCATTTCCTCTTCACGTTCCTTGCGCCGGCGCTCCTCCAGCTCCCGCTCGCGCTCAGACACTTCGAGCGCCATTTGAAGATCATAGTCGATGTCGGGGTCGACGTTGGTGGCCGCAGGAGGCGGGCCCTGGTATTGCTCTAGACTGGCCTGGATCGCTCTACAAGCGGTGGGACACAAGCTAATTCTACCGCTCTACCGACTAAAACCGAAAGCTTTCACGAGGTAAAGGGAAATTACGTTACTGGGTAGGACGGTTAGGTCCTGCGGAGAGACACGCGAAACAAATGAAAATCGGCTAGGGCCACCCCTTAACTGACCTTTGCAGTTCGCGCTCCTCTGTATTGGGCGTGTCCGGTCTCGATGGTCTTTGAGCGCGGAGCGCCTCCCAGATGTCTACCTCCTCACGTTCAGTGCCCGAGTCGACGAGACTTTGCTGGATAGCGAACTGCAGTAAGTCGTCCTCCTCCTCCATGCTAAACTGACGGCGCGCGTCGACACCTATGCGGGAAATAATTTTTTTTTTATACAAAAGCCGCGCCATCGTCGGGTGAGTGAAATATGGAGGGCGGAAACGGAAAAGAAACAGAACGGCGCGTAGTTCAAATGACCCGCGAGATTGGCGAGAAAAAACAAAAAGATGATGGCGCACATTACCATTACCAATCTGAGTGTAGTGGGCGGGACGAAGGAACAGCGAGTCGTCGAGCACGCACGCAAGCCTGTCCTCCTCCTGTACAGTGGACACCTTCGGTACGGGGCCGTCCGTCGCGAAGATGTTACCGAACGTGATACGCGCGTTTAGCACGTGAAAGAGCGGTATTTCTGCAAATACGTCATAATAAGGATGCAGTTCAAAGTCGAAGTCTCCTATATGTCCTTTTACTTTTTTATATTTTTTTTGTACAACCATAACTGTAGTATTATCCATAATTGAAATAACTACCACATATAAACATAATTTTGTACTTGGACTCATATAAAACTAAGACTTTGACAAATAATTTTTATGTTAATTATTGTACATGTATGACTTTATAGCCTCATATAAAAATAATTGACGAATTATTTTATATGAAACTGGCCCGTGTTCAAATAACATCTCACCGATTTTAACGGGAAAGCCCGACGGCAGCTGCATCTGGATAAAATCCTTCAACTTGGCGAAGTGGGAGCTGGATATGGCCATCAGATCGACGATGGGGAGGATCTGCTCGGGCAGGGACAGCGGGTAGTCTTCGCAGAGCCACAGATTCGCTTTGAATTTCTGTATTTTGACGCTCGTCTCCTTAGGCCGGCCAATGTCTCGATTGCCGAGGTCGAAGTCGCCATCGAAGTACTCCTCGGGCGTGATGTTGCTCGGGTTCGTGCTGCTAGTGTACTCCTCCTGTGACGCAACAGGAATATGCGGGACGTTAAATAAACAATTATTCGCGGGCTCTTTTCTTCCTACTTCGTCTGGTCGTCGTCAAACTTGATAAATTAAAAATACTTCAAATGACTGGCGCGAATCTTTACCAAATTTTAACATTTGAATGGTGTTTTTGTCATTGAATATTTAATCAAGAAAATATCGCTTTACTGATAATTTATAACTGCTTCAATAACGGAAGTTTAATTAATTAAATATGGGTTTGAAGGGAGGACGCTCGCGCGAGTAGTTGAAATCCCGAATTTATTTTGTAGACAATTAGCAACTTCAAAATCACTTCAATGACTATTGATCAAACTAAATTTTTTATTTAATTTTTGCTTATATTTTTAAAAGATAAGCCATCTATTTTGTTTTAATACAAATCCATTGAATAGACTGGTTACGTCAGTAGTTCAGATGACTGTTGTCGTTTGATTTATTTAAAGGAAGACGAAAAACAAGTTGCGAATTGCACTAATTATTCCTCCAAACAACCCAACCCTCCTAACCGCATAGTAGTGTAAACGTACACACCAATATGGATTCAAAGTGGTGGATAAGCCTTACGTCAAAGTAGTTAAAACGACTCAACTTCATTTCGAGCCCTTTCACATAAAAAGTTTATTAAATAAAGATTTAATCTTGCCTAAGAGCCATAAAGTAGTTGAAACGTCTTGACGTGAGCGTCACTTACGTTCTGCGCGAGGCCAGCGCTCCCAGCGCTCTCGCCCACCTCCGCGATCCCGAGGAAATTCTGCAGGGGCGTCTTGCTGTGTCTGCTTCGCGCCTTGTCGGTCTCTGTCAAATGTTCCGTTCTAGTTTTCGTCACCAGTTCGACATTGGTCGCGCTGAACACTTTGCAGTCGTGCCCGTTGACATTCTCGTTCTTGTCTGACCGCCAGCCCCAAATGCCGGCTTTGTTCCGCTCGAAACTGATTTTGTCAGTATCCACGTACGTCGTAATGATGGGCGTGGTCAAGCGCTGCGACACTGTCTCCTCGTTTGGCAGTAGCACGCCTAAAGTTTCGTCGCTGCTCCGCATCTCCTCACAGTACACCTGACGTAGATCGTGGTCAATCTCCATCATTGTCGCGCCATCATCTTTGAGGTTTGAAAAAAATGCGGTCAGTTTGTTTCTTTTTTAACGCAAAAAACCACAAAAGCAATTTCGATTTTGAGGTTAGAAAGCGCAGATCATTCATTTGAAGATTATGAAACATACACCATAAGCGGTCATTATTTTTTTAATGCAAAACCTCAAAAACAACTTGACTTTGAGATTCGGGGAGGCCATTCTCTTTACTTTTACGCACAAAAAATCCCCAAAAGCAATTCTAGCGGCTCTACAAGAGAGAGTTACCGCCATTGCCTGAGGATATCAGTCGGTAGACATAGCTTTTGTACCCCCTTAAGGCCGGGCAAAACTGCAAATAACCTTAAATACGATTTAAATAAAACGCCCGCCACGGGTGGCCCGTCCCTTACTTTGCCCCTGGAAGACGTAGCTGCGGTTGCCGCGTTGCCAGCTTGTGTGATCAAAACCAAGCAGGGTGGTGTCAATCCGCACATTGGAGCCTTGCTTGTAAACCTTGTAGGTGTCGCTGGGGCACATGCGAGGCACGAGGGGCACTAGTTTATAACACCAGCCATTACTAAATACGCCTTATTGCAAACGGGCGCATTACTTGCCCCAACTCGTAAACTCCCATTTCATTTCAACATAAAAATCAGGCGCTTCCTTCAGCTTCTGCAGGAGACCCGGTATCCCGGCCATACGGTTCGTGTACCGCTGTAAGTCTCTACGTTCCAAAACGATGTGTACCAATTCGGGATCACCAGTGGCAACCGCCTCCTGAACCACTTAACACAGAAAAACAACCCGCTGCTTTAGAATGTCTTTAATTGGCTTAAAAGTATAGCGTTACGCCCTGAAGTAATGCGCTTACCGTTCCAGCCGTCGTTATTTTCGCAATTGACGTTAGCTTCGGCATTTAACAGGGTGCGTGTGGATTCAAGGTGGCCCAATGTGACCGCCAACATAAGTGGTGTCCTGCCCCGGTTGTCATTTTTCTCCTTGTCGTGCTGGAACAAAAGTACGTGGCGCCGCGTACCCTAATGCCGTACCCGTGGGTTACCTCCTTCGTGGCCAGAGCCTTTTCTAACAGTTTGTATTCGTTGTGCCACACCAGCCAATGTAAGGGGTATTCGGATTTGATAAATTCCTCGGAGACCATTTTCGCGTGTACCGGCCGTCGCCTCGAACTTACGGCGAATCAAATCATCGCGCCGCGCGTTTTTATCGCAAATAGTGACGGCGAAATCGACGAAAATCAACCGCGACTGACAGCTTCGCTATCTCGCGCTCACCATATTTCTTTCGAGTGACGTCGCGGATATCCCCACTCTTCCACACGTCAGGCAATGTTCGCGGATTGGCGTTTTCCGAACACAGAACATAACAGATGGTAACTGTGACGTCACCGCTCCACCCCAGGCAGTTCACTGTTTATTATTTTGTAGTTGTTGGCAAATGAATTTCTAAAGCAGGTTAAAAATAAATTTATTGTTTACAGACTTTTTCCCTTACATAGCGTTTTCTGTAAAAATGCCATGCAAAAAAAATGAGAATTCGTTTAATAAATTCTAAACTAAATATTTACACCCCCTTCCTCCACTTTTCTGCGGTGGTAAACTCGGTCATCGGTTTTCCACTGATTCCACAAGTACCAATCCCGACTCGACCATTGACCGAATCGGGTGATGCGAATATGCTCTTCATGTTGAGACCGCTCTTTTTAGCCTTGGATGCCTTATTTGCAAATGCCAACCACTTTTTCTTCTCGCACTCGCGCTCTTCCTCCAACTCCTGAAACCTTTGCTGTTTTTTCAGTTTCTTCTTCTTTAAATATTCCTTGTTTACTTTTGATTTTTTGATTTTCTCCGCCTCGCTAAGCGTCCTCTTCTGTCCGGTAAACTCTTTCAGCTCGTCGAGCGTCGTGACTCCTCGATTTTTGTAGTTCTCGAAAGTAATGTTCACCTGTCCATCTGGATTGATAACGTCAATTTTGGCCTCATAATATTGGCCATTCTCGCTCCATTTGGCCATGCATATATCGCCAACCCGCCACATTCGTTTTGTTTTGTTTCTCGCGACGAATTGTTCAACAGCGAGTAAGGACTTGGTAATTTCGTCATCTTCGACCACGCCAACGGGGTCCGTATATTCAGGAAGGTTTGCGGCCTCTTCGGCTTTGTGTTTTAGGTCTAACGTGAGCTCTATAACTTCCTCGAGATCGACCTTTAACTTTTTCAGCTCCTCGTTATGCGGATCCGTCAACAAAGCTGCTTCTACCTGCTGCAGTTGGAGCTGATAGTTTTGTAATTCGTCACTCATTTTTATAATATAAAAAAATTGATTACCTTAAAACGGTTTTCCGTTTTACTATTTATTCTCAAAACGGTCGGGGATTCGATTTGCGTGCAATTTTTCCCCTGAAATCTTGCTTTGTTTTCCTCTCCCCGTTCACGTATATTGAAATCTATGACATTTTTATCCACTGAACAATTAGCAACGGTTAGGTTAGTTGCATAGAACGAGAATTCTGTGTTTAGTTTATAATGTATATTTGATGGCCGATATCAATTTTTTATTCTTTTTATATGTTTTTGTAGTTAAACCTCATGTGTACCTGTTGGCAAAGACGTGGTTAAAATTATTACTTGGCCTTTTGCTCGCCTTGTCACATCTAACTCATACAGAAATACGCATTGTTAATCCTTGCAACTACATTTTTTTTTTCAACTTTAAAAGGCCAACTGGGTATATCCACAAGTATTAGCAACATTTATTGAAATACATTTTCTCATCGTTTTTACAAATCGCTGTTGCCAATGTCTTCATAACGGACCACAAGTTTTTCTTTTGTAAGGTGTCACTGTCGAGGATCCAATGATTGAACTTTGAGAGTACCGTCCAGTCTCAATGAAAGCAATTTGCCGATTATGTCATGTTAGCGACGCCCATTTGAATTTTAAATTCGCACAATTTATCGGAGCTTTATATACGCAAGAAACGTGGTCGAATATTTTTACAAGCGCGACGTTGCCGCGCATTTCGAAAGGAGTTCAGAAGGAGAAGGGCGTATTTGTCCAAATCGTATCGGGGCGTTCGGTGCTCGTTCGGGGCAGCGCGGGAGGGAGGCCGACAAAGCGTTTCCGTTAAAAAAGAATTTTCATCAATAGAGAATAATCAGCATAAAAGATTCAGTTGCATTTTAATTAATCAAAAAGCCTATCATAAATGTGTTTGTTTAAAGGTTCTCAATTATTTTAAATAAATCATTGCGGTCATAGTAAAATTGTATATAGGTACGTTTTACTCAGAAAATTGCATACGGCGATTATCACGAATCATGAAAGGTTAATAAGAATGTGTGCCGCATTGTACTCACAGCTAAAATTATTGATTTAAAAAAATTAACTATACCCAGCATACCCAACAATCAAATAGTAAAAGTTATTTAAGTAATTGTCAGTATAAAAATTATGCAAAAATTGAAATTGCATTAAAATTTTGGAAAAGAACAGCGCCATTACTTAAAAATACTTATTTTAAAAGGCGGAATTGTCAAATAAAAATCCCTTAGGTGCCACACACCTACCCCCTCCTACACCCTCATTGTAGTATGTTTAATAGAAATTGTAAGTCTTTTTTACCTTAAATAATAGAGTAAATTGTTGTTCTTTATATCATGTCCAATAACCTCTACTTTATTTTGTAAACTGTTAATTTTATTTTGTTTGTAAGTACACTGTATAGTGGAATCAACCCATATAGATAATTAACCAAAGTAAAATAATTTAACCGCATTTTATAAGTTAATTTGCTATCTGAGCCTTGTTTACACTTGTATTTTAACCTCTCTCTTTATTCGGATAAATATTTCGACCGCGTTCGAGTGTTCGTGGCCGGTGCCTTTGTGGTTTTCCCTTCAGAAGCATTTGGCTCGCCGGTGAACTTGACTACTGAATTTTTACGAAAGGTTCTTTATCAGCCATTAATATTTTCTTAGAGAAGGTAATGATTTTCCGCGCATGTCTCTAGATTTCAGCCAATAACCTGTTCTTGGTGCATTTATTTCTAAACAGCGATGTCCACACACTTGCCGTAAAAATGCCGCATCGAAACTTATTGATGTTCTGACAATTAAATTTCGCGCATATGCATGTTGAATGGACCTTCTCAAGTTTTTTTTTTTATCGTTGCCAGACTTTTGTCTTAGTTTCTGGCCAAGTTCACTTACGATCTTAATTTTAAGTACGAAAAAACAAGGCTATATGCAATCGACGAATGCCAGGTGATTTTAATAAAACTGTGCATTTCAAAAAGCTCGCGCGATAGGGGTTTAAGATCGGACAACGTGGCAACGTCGCCGAGTTGGAATCTACGCAGTCGTTTGCTTGAAAAATGAGACACGGAAACAAATAAACTTTAGTAACAGTTGTCTGCTCTTTAGTGAGACAAGAGCTGCGAGAAGAAGCGGAAAGCGGACGAACAAATAAAAAACCGGCATTACTTGCTCTAATCGTTTTCGAGCTACAAAATCAATATTGGTCTATTTTGCCAGGTAGAAGTAATGTCCGCATCTCCCATGGCCAGACAGGTGGCCGATACGAAAGCCATCCCCATTAAACGAGTGCTAGTGAACGACCCTTCTGAGATGCCGAATCATTATTCGTCCACCCCAGGGGGCACACTTTTCTCCACAACTCCAGGAGGTAAATATTTAACGATACCGATCCCTCTTTGCCGCTTTATTTTTTAAAAATAAGGAGGTATTTGTGCTCCCAGCCAATCTTGAATTCTTCACCGTTTCTTTGGTTAAATGCCAACGAGCTAGAAACTGAGCAGTTTTTGTTTATATTTTCTAATTCATACGACTACAAAATAAACATTTAGATACGTTTTCGATTAGACAGTTATCTGGAAAAAAATCCTTTGCACGCTAGATTTGTTTACTTATCGCGCAGGTTTGCGGCCTTGACTCGTTTTTTTATTTTTTTTTTTTCGCGATAAGACATGCCTTGTCGTAAAATGTGTCATTTTCGCCAGATTTTTAAGAGGTTCGATAACGTTGCACCTAAGACGAACGAATACCTCTTTTAGTTAAAAAAATATATAAAAATGTCAATCACATCAATGGAAAAAAGGGCTAGAAAATCAAAATTCGTGTTTATGGAAAAGGATCACGGCGCCTTTGGGTTTCTGGGCTGGTTGGTGGTCTGTGGTAAAATCAAAAATATTATGTATTTTTATTTTATGTTATGCATTTACATGTTGCACATATGCCAGAAAAATACCCGCCTAGAATTACGCATATTGCAGACATGATCGAGAAAAAATTCATGCTCGATTTATGTATAGCACACGTATTGTATAATCGTTGGCCTTTAATTTTATAAACAGTTGACGTCGAGTCGAAACTTTTATTCACTTGTTTTTCGGCGATTAACCGCGATTTTCGTAAGTAAACTATCGAAGGTAGGTACGGTAAGTAAACTATCGAAAACGAGTGGCAAAATCATAAGCACGTCCCTGAGCAAAAAAAAAAATCCAAAGAACTCGGGAAGTTTCGGAGCAATAGACGCTTCCCTTATAACCGTGCCAACTGTTGAATTATGCATTCGTTGGACCGGGCGTAACGTAGTTTGAATTGACAGGGCATTCCGTTATTTATAAATAAATACTTAAACATTCGCAAAAAGCAGGTTGTATTTTTGTGCGCAATTCGTTGCAAGAGAAAAAAAGTTTTAAGTTTATGCAATTTGCGCCGATAATGAGTACGTACCAAGGTGATACCTCGCCGCGTTGTTTTCGTCGATTGCGGTTTTTATCTAGTGTTTTGTCTGCGTCAACGACGTTATTGCATTTACATTAAAACGCGGTCTCCAATTTGACAGCTTGATTTATGGGAAAGCATGCGTGGTATCATTTACATCAGAATTAATTCCAAACCGTTCACCAGATGTGGTAAGATTAAATCGAGTTTTGTTTGGAAAAAAAATAAAAAAAGAACAATAAGTAAGGGATCGTGTATACAACGGCTTGTCGACGTGCGGTTACAAAGTATATACGCCGGTTTTGTTAATCTCTATGCCGCGTTTTGGCGACGGACAAGACGCAAACGATAACGCGGTTATTTTTATCCACCCGGCTATGTGATAGTGTTTACGGCTGATGTAAATAGGCGATAAGTAGGTCAATACTTTTAAAGATGAACGTTTCCATTGTTGCCATTAAAAAAAAACCGTTTCCATTTCAAAGGTACCAAGATAGTGTACGAGAGGAACTTCCTCATGAACCTCCGCAACTCGCCGATCTCCAAGACGCCGCCAAAATTTGACATTCCGGAAGCGCTACTGAGGAATTCCGGCAGCCCTCCGAAAAAACAAAACCAATCGAATAACAAAAACAAATACGTGTCGAGGAGGCGAAACTCCAATACCAATCCGAGGAAGGGCAGCAAAGACGACGACGATCATCAGTTCCAAATGGACCTTTAGTATACCGCCCCAGTTGTGGCGCCACCTGTTGCGCTCGCTTTTAAGCTCGAAAGCGAAGTCGGACATTTCGCATATAGATGGGGGACGCGGCGTTCATATTCCTTTACCCGTAATTTTAATGAAATTGGACTGCAGCGCAGGGCCCAGACTATTTTTTCGGGTAATAACTTGTGCCTTTTGTTAAGTTTTGTGTTATTACTTACTTTTAATACAAAAATGCGTTTTATAACGATCGAGTTTTTTTTCAAAATTCAATTGAAAGGGGTGTAAGTCGCACATAATTGACTGGGTCAAATACGTTTCGCACTAGGTAGCGCTCGTCGATTGATATAAAAAAAGCAAGCGTTCTTAATATATATTTTAATAACGTAATAAATAAACCTTACAAATATCACCTAGAATTATATAAAAAAAACATGTAACTTTGTCATACAAAAAATCTTTGGTTTTATACGGATATTCGTCCCACCACCGTGCCCTAAACGTCGATAATACTTTCGTGTTTCTTGTCTTGAGCGGTCACCTTGAGTTTCTCCTGCATCTGATTTAGCATCTCCTGCATCCTACGGATCTAAAACTGGCACGTGTAATAACCACGCACACCTTCCATGCCCACCCACTTACCTCCTCGTCCTTTTGCAGTAGCAGCCTGTCAGTCTCGGAGATGTCCGACTCGTAGGGTGCCGAATCCCGCTTCAGCTTCCTGCACGTCCACCCATACAAATTACATTCAATAAATAACATGGAAATCGCACTTACCCCCTCTCCCTAGCGTGTTGCGATATCTGCGAGATGCACTGCGCGCGAAAATTCTCGTAATGGACGTCCTCTGTTACGTCCTTTAGGTCCTGCATGTGTGTCGATATCAGCATCGTCCTCAACTTGATGAAGTCGCTGTGCTTCGGGTTCTCGACTACGGACAGGGGCCAAACCAATTATCAGTCGATCGAAATTAATAGAGAAATAATATAGTTTCAGTTAGGCATACGACTAGAAAAAGAACTAATACTCCTAGAACGCTGGTCTAAAAGAGTACATAAGTACATGAAGAAAGGGAGACAGAGCATCCATATCTTAGAAAGAAACTGTGAGGTTACGAGATTATTGCGCATGTGCTTGTGCATTATCAAACCAACTTACCTGTGCATCGTTATATGAGGATTTTTGGATCGAATTTATAGTTACAAAAGGCATAACGTCTAATGCAAGGCATCTTCACAAGTATCACTCAAATTTCAAATCGCTAAAGGAAACCCACCGACGGAAATCTATAGGAGACAAAACAAAAATGGCCACGGCGCCTAAGTTTCAGCTGACAGCGATGCTGCCAATAGTTGCGAAGGTAATAAATATAAAAAGTTCTAGGTCAGAACTGTCAACCAAAAAAAATAATTAACTGAAAACTGTCTAGCTTTCTAAAAAACATATAAAAATTATATTTCTGATGTAGACGGTTACTCAAAAAAGTGTGTTGCTATTATACATTGTTCTTATGTATTTAAAATTTACATAAAATTGGACTTTTCCTTTATCTGGCAACAAAGTAATATCATCCCAACCCATTTTTCGTGGAAGGTTTTTCTCTCTACCAGCCTTCTAGGAGTATTAATTCTATGCGTCCAGTCGCAATGAAAATAAGAGTAAACATTTACCATCGACGACCCCCCAAGGGTACTGCCTGCCGCGTATCTTTCTGCCGGCGACTTCGAGGATTGTGTTGCTGCCGACTACCGCGAACGGCACGCTCGCCTTCAGTTCTCTGTCCTGCTGCTTGAAGTCTTCATCCTCGTCGCTATCGCATTCGGGAAATTCGTACATCTGGATGTCGTTTTCTTTGATGTCGCGCAGTATGTTCCGTTTGAGCTTGTCGACTTCGGCCGAGGTGAGACAATCCGCCTTCGCTATCACCAGCACGATGTTGACCTTGCGGTGAAGTCGCTTCATCAGCTCGAGATCAGTCTGGCGTAAGCTATGGCCCCACGGTGGCAAGAAGTAGAGGCAGCAGTGCACCCGGTTGTCTTGGATGTTTCGCCGATTCAGGCCGCTTTCGTCCGTAAAGTATTGCCGGAATTGTTCGTCGATGTAGTTTGTGCACACCTTCCAGCTGTCCTCGCAGTTGACGGCGTCCCCGAAACCCGGAGTATCGATCACCGTCAATCTACGAAATCCCGATGGATTTGTGCCGACGTGGGAGAGAAAATTGCATAAAAATTTATCTGTTGAATTTTAGGTAAAAATATTTAGTTTTGGAAATTATGGAGTGCTAACAAATATTAACGGCTCATTTTTTCAACAGTTCAGTAAATTGTAACATTATAGTATATTATGCAATAAGTGTGGTAAACGGCATTTGAATCACCAGTTTATTTGCCACAAGCGGAGCGAGTGTTTAATAAATGAGTGACTTAAAAAGTTTGCCAGTGTTGCATACTATGCTTTATATATATATATATATATATATATATATATATATATATATATATATATATATATATATATATATATATATATATATATATATATATATATATATATATATATATATATATATATATATATTCGCGTATTGATTCACGGATGGAAAAATTTGATGACAATATATTCCGGGATATCATCCGACTGGAATCCTGCAGACGTTTCGCCAAGATCTCACTTGACATTTTCAATGCCCGCGCTCCGAGTGTTCGAAATGTTTTCAGAGCGCGAGCATTTTAAAATTTAAGTTTCAAGGGCTTGCAAAATATTTAAGGTTTATAAGGTTTATAATTGAAATTGTTATACGGTTTTTTGAAATTATGTTAACATATGAAAAATTTCACAATGGCACCTAAATTTACGATATTAAGCTGACTATTTCTCCCAGATGTTTGGGGTAGACGATCTAAAGCAAGAAAGAAGAGAAAAAGTAGTTATCAATAAAGGATTATATTTCATGTTTATGATATGACAAGACAAGACTCATTGACAATGAGCAAGAGGAAATGAAAAAAGTTGCAAGTATTGTCACCTGTGTTACAGAGCATTGCCAAAAAAGAGTTTAGGTAATAAAATACCTGCATAGGCTAACTAATCCATAGATGCTGAGAGAGTTATATAGTACTGAGGTTAAATAATTATTTGGCGTTCAATTATCTTTCTGGGTACACCCTTGTAAAATCTTTGTTTATGGTTGGATTTTGATTTTTTTTGTTGGATAGCTCTTTCAAAAATGCAATAATACCTTGTTTTGCTTATTGCTTAAATTCAAAGTCATGGTCTACTGAGACTATGTAACAAAAGATAGAGAAAAGAGCAGTACTATTAGGGATTTTTTAAAAAGTAAATTGGGAACGAATTCTTATTCTTATTTCTATAATGTTTCAATACAGGCTGTTTGAAATTGGCGACCCGCTTAAGTACATCGTTGAACATTCTTTTTGTTGGATAGATCCCTGAAAAACGCATTATTACATCAACCTAAAGTCAGGGCTAACTGGGACTAATTTTTGATGTCAAATATCGAGAAGGGTTGTTAGGGATTTCTTTAAGAATAAACTGTCAACGAATTCTTATTCAGTACTACATAAAACTTAACAACCACAAACAATTTCCATGATGTTCGAATACAGGGTGCTCGAATTATAGCGGGCGCCTAGCTTAAGCATTACTCCTGTAGAATGTTTGTTTATGGCTCAATTTTAATAATTCGGAAAATCGATAAGTACTTTTGGAGATTTCTGTTTAGGACTACCTAAAAGTAACTAGACCAATGACCAAAGTTTTTAATGCTGAAAAAAAAATTGTAAACCTTGTAAATAAAGATAATTTTGTATGTAATTTTAAGATCTTATAAATTTTAATTACATTTATTTGTTGGTATCATCTTAAAACAACAGCATTAATAAGTCTTAGTATTCGAAAGGTATAAAGTAAACAAAAATAAAATATAAACTAGCGAGTGAATTTGACATTCTATGGCACACTTGGTTTTACAAAGCAAACAGTATGCCGACGTCAATCAATTTTGATATGTCTGTTATTTTCATTATTAGATGAGAATTAAAAATCCTTTTTAATTAAAAAAAGACATCGTTGTAAAGTTTGCTTAGTTCATATCTAATCTTCTCTAATCATATATTTTTATAAAAACTGTTAGTTAGAACTATCCAAATTGAGCCATAAACAAACATTCTACAGAAGTAATACTCAAGTGACGCGCCAGCTATATTCCGAGCACCCTCTATTCGAACTTCATAGAAATTAGTATAGTTAGGATTTACGTCGTCCTGAATAAGAATTAGTTTACACATTATTCTTAAAGAAATAGCATTTCTAGATATTTGACATCCAAAAATAGTCCCAGTTGGGCCATGACTTTAGGTTGATATAGAAAGAAACATAAGCTTTTAGTGCGTTTTTGAGAGATCTAACAAAAAAAAATCAAAATCAAACCGTAATTAAGGATTTTACAACGATAAGCGCGGCGCAAACGATGTTTTAAACACCCTGCATTGAAACACTATAAAAATTGGTATAGTTTTGTTCTAAGCACTCCTGAAGAGAAGAATTCGTTGCCAATTTATTTACTTTTTTAATCCTTAATAGTACTTCTCCCTTTTCTTACTTTTGTTAACTAGTCTCAGTTGGCTATGATTTTCCCCATGGGCAAAATAGAACCATAAACAAAGATAAAGAAACATAGCTAAAGTATTTTGAGATACGAAATCACAAGGGTGCAATTTTTTTCGATACTTTTTTGATGTCCTTGTTTTGTATGAGTGGCGTGGCGGGACCCTTACCGTACTCTCACTCCCCTCTCTTCGATTTCCATGGTCTTTTTCTCGATCGTCGTGGTTTTGTGTAGCCGCTCGCTGACGTCCGGCAATTTCCGGTTCTTGTACAAGTCTTCGAGGAACAGGCTGTTTATCATCGTCGATTTACCGAGGCCGGACTCGCCGACCACCATCAGCGTGAACTCGAAACCGCGCTTGACGGACTTGCGGTGCACCTGATCCGGCAACGTCGCAAACCCGATATAGTCCCTGTCTCTGTCTGCGCAGAATTTTTGAAAATGTTAAGTTTGGCACACCCTATATAGTACGTAAATATAGTCGGCGCACGTGCTCGTATATATATAAACGGGGAACTGATATTGACTACGCCATTTTAGATTTTTAATGGTCCAGTTACCCGAAGCTTATGACCTCGACGCGTCGTGGTCGCCTGAGTAGTGATTTTTTGTTTAAAACAACTTGAATAAAATGTTCTGTTTGGAGCTGAAATTTTTGGCATAGTTTTGCTTGAAAGGAAACATCCAGCTTAATCATAATCTGATGCGAATACAAAAATTTTAACGTAAACTTAATTGTCGAACGGTGGAATTCGTAGCGCACCGCGCAGGGCACTAAACGTCGGTATCCTGGTTTTGTTCGCATCTCGTTTGGGCCAATTAACATTCCTCGAGGCCGTCCTTGATTCGCACTCACTGAGATAAGGCACGTTAACGTATACAAATAGAATAAAATTAGCCGTAACTGTCGAGGGTGACGTAACGTTGACGGCCAATTCTTCTTCGAAACATGCGACGATTAAGTGCCACGGATAATACGCTTGGTTTGTTTACGCGATCGGTCGAGAATCGGGGGTAGTAGGCCTCGGTCGAAACGACGCGTGTGCGTAAACGTCACGTTTTTTTTTTAAATTCTCGATCGTGAATATAAATATGGATAAGCCGCTCCCAAAAACGCCACGTTAATTAAACCGCTGCCTAATTAATATAAACTTTAAAACCGCGCTAATTGATGTTTCGGTACAAGGCGAGCCAGAAAAATATATTAACAAGTCACCAGGCACGTCTCTCTCGTGTGTACTCATCCTGGTGAATATAATTATACCGGTTTCCGGATAATTTCCTAAATAATTGCCCGTTTCCTGACTGATCTAATAAGTTTTCCACGCGTGATGAGTTCGGTGCCGTATAATTATAACGAGCATCTATGGCGCCCTCCGTTTACATCACCGTCAAACAATAACAGGGCAAATCCCCTACCTGACGTCATGGCAATCCTGTGAATTCGCAAGACAGCTAGCAAATCTTCCGTTCTAATCCTGCTGCATCCCGCGTCACTATCACGGCCACCTAGACCATAACAAACTGCTACTTCTAAACGCACGCGTTGCCCACTCTTGCGCGTATTCGCGACCAAACAGCAGTGCGTTACATGGAACCGTCGCGATCAATATGAGCGGGATTTACAGCGGGCGCGGTGTTGTTATACGGTATCGACTGTTTTGATACGGCGCGTACGGCTGGTTGCCGACGTCCGTGATCCGCACTGCAACGTTGGTTCCCGTTTTTCTAGTCGTCATCGGAAATGGAATTTTTTCGGGACTTCGAATCGATTGTAAAATATTCGTGGTTTTATCGCACACTGGAGAGAATGTAATACCCATTTATAAAATTAATCTGCAAAGGTAAATAATGTAAGAAACCTTGACCCATAGAATCATTCCAAGGATCCGTGTGATTATTTGTTTTTGAATAAAGATTTGCGTTGGAATGGTCAAAGAAATTTTCACAGAAAAACTATATCGCAACTTCAAATGTGGGCAACCAAAACAACATGGAACGCGCATGCGCGTTGCGACGAAAGGGCTGGTAGAAAATGTGGGTTCTTTTTTTTATTGAAATCATGGATAACTTGCCGTAATGATGGTAAAATACGAGGGAATCATGTCCGTGTCGGGAGGTGAGACTGTTAGTTGAAAACGTGACTTCAAGGTGTGCAAACTAAAAAAAAATCGTTAAAATAACTGCATTTTTAACTAAGTCAACATTATAATTTCGAGTAGAGGTAAGTACTGTGGTTTCAGATTTTCTTTTTTTATGAAGGTAAATAAAAAAAAAACAGAACTTGTTTAGAATAACTAATATAATACATATTCACTTTTGAAATCAAGTGACGTGTGGCATTAATGTCTGGTGGGTTGGTGGATGTTTATGTTAAATTGGAGAAGAGCCAATTTATTTTAGATTTCGCTACAGTCGGTTATCGCAACCATATATAGCGGATTGTTTAAATGACAATAAGTTGGTTAAAATATTTTTTCTACTCCCGTCTATAAAATACCTAATTACCCATCGATCTAGTGTGCGGGATGCGTCACTTTACCACGTCACTTTCGTTTCCCATGATTCCGAGCTACTTCGGACATTTCCGGATTTTACCGCACGGATTTGGGAGCAATCGGATGTTTTCGGAGATATTTCCCACGCTTTGAATTTTGACGTTTGTCAATTCTAACAGTGAATGTATTCGTGTTGTTTTGCGACAATGTACCCAAATACTAACGGTCGTAGAAAAAGTATAGTATGCACGTTCGATAAACTTTTTAACTTACTCGTTTATTAAACACTCGCTCCGCTCGTATCAAATAAACTTGTGAGTCAAATGCCGTTTACCGCACTTGTTGCATAATATACTATAGATTGTTTTATTTGGATGACCCTAAGCGTATTCTGCCCTTGTCCCCTGTCACAGTTTATATTCCATTGTCCATTACAATGACGCTATTAGGAGGAATGCTTGAAACTCGTTTGTTTTAAACCAACTTTCAAATAAATCAGCGCTGGTGTCTTTTTGGTAATCCAGAGAAGAATCTTTAATATTTTTCGCAGACAACCCAACCCTTTTCCGAGGTATTATAAGTGTCGAACCAGGTTTCATCCAAGTAAATAATTGGCTTTTGTTGTTCTCTGTAAATCCTATTTTTCCTAGATATTCCAGTCACAATTTCCGAATTCTAAAAGATTCTATTAAAACTTAACTTTTGTCAATTCTTTTAAATCTAAAACCCATGAGTTGAATACACTTCCATAAGGTAGTTCTGCCACATATAACACCGGTTTCATCTTTTTCAAGACTCCTAATGTAGGCACGCTTTGTTCCTCGTATAACTAGTAAATTTTACGCCGTATTATATCTTGATCACTTTCATCTACACTCGAGAAAATGTCAGCATCGCTTCTTTTTTTTCTCGCTGAAATGGGATTATTCATCATTCACTCATGAGAGTCAAATAAACATTGCTTATAACTTCCTTAGTCTCAATAGAATAGTTTTCTACATTTGGGCGGGATTATCTCCTGAAATACACTAAACTCGCACATATTTTGCATAATTCGCACACCATTCAACACGCGCTGTATTACACACTAAATAAGAATGATTACAAATAAACGTAAACTAAGTAGTATACCAAACCAAAGAATATTAAACACAGGTAGGTATAAAATTATTTTCTATTACGGACCACAATTTTACCTGAATTTAAATTCCGAAACTTTAGGTAATAATCTTGTTGCATTTTATGTTAATGATCACCCTTGGATAATCCCATTCAAAAGCAATTGGTCACTTTCTTATATCTATGAACAGACCATAACTGTTGAAAATTCTAGTTATTTTATTACGTATATTACGTAAAACTTATTAACAAAATTCCTTTTTCTTAAATATCATAATCACGTTGGCAGCACGGTAGGACCATTTTGTTTTCTATTGCATATTATATTCTTTGATATATGGTCGCCACAAGTTTGATTCAAAAGACCGTCCTCCGACGCGCAGGTTCGTCTGACGTACGGGACGGTACAGTAGGAAGCGTAGCGGCGGGCAGGTGCGAAAATTTATTCCGACGCGTTCCTCGGTTGCAGTCGGTGTTGTCAAGATCGCAGGTTGTCTGTCGCAGCGCGCGACGAACTTGAAATTGTGCCGATTTGTTTTCGGTCGTCGCCGCATTTTTCGCGGCCTACTTTGATTCGGTAAAACCGCGGTCGATAACGGATCGTCGCATTGTTTCGCGCGCCAAGCGGGTGGGGGTCGGGTCTTTTTCGACCGGAACGGCCCTGTTTCCGCTTTGCGTTTCACACTTTCGCGCGCGAACGACGACGTGAAAACTGCATTTATTTCGCCCTGCGTCTCTCTCGTCGCCGTTTACTCACGGATGTGCACGCGTTTCAGGCAGCGACGTAGTCGGCCGTTGTCGACGTGTGGGTTTTCCCGGATTGTTTGATTCAATTTCGGTGAGGAGATTGTAATTTTTTTTGTGATTTAGGGATCGTTGCCGTAAGATTTATTGAGTTTCCTTTAAAAACAAACGAGTTTCGCTTCTGCGTGTGGGGGTAACTTGCGGTCGCCCGCGTTGACACAGTTCGGCCGTCGCGGGCCAGACTGACCGTTAGAAAACCGTATACGGGGCGAGTCTCAACGAGTGTCATATATAAACCAGTTTTCGTAGTTATGAGTAGCAATACGCTCTACAGGGTGGCCCGACAAGAATGCGAAGTGATGCATGTCAGATCGGAAACTATTCGCTACGGAGACTCGCCTTAAAAAACACATTTTACCAAATTTTCAAGATATTCGCGCTCACAACCAAGAATACCTCTACGATTTAAAAATTAGAAAATTATAAATGAACGAAATTTGGAAAAAGACAAATTAAGTATAATAAAAGCCGGATGAAATCGTGTCTTTTGTTCGATGTTTTAGGCTGGGAATAACATTTATGCATTCGGTTTATCACTAGCCATTTTTTGAAAAATTTTTATTTAAAAAAAAAAGCATTTAATTTTTTAAGAATTTGCAATTCTTCCGTTATCACAAGGTGCGCTCCATCGGCATCACTAAGCGTTATGCGTGTCACAGATAAGTTGTATTTCGTGGAGTGACAAATGCTTTTTTTAAGGTGTTCAAGACCATTTTTTTGTTGGTAATTTTTAAGTGGATTTCAGAGAAACATCACCTTAAAAGTTTAAGATGACGTTTATTTCTCTTCTCGACCATCTTGGAAATTTGAAATTATTTCCACATTCTTCTTTGTTAACAAATTTTTTCCGAGAAAAAAAAACGGGTTTCTAGTTCATCACTTGTTAGACAAGACTACTTTTAAAAAATTACAAAAATTATCTGTCAATTTTTACCTTTACACCGGCCACTCTCAGCAAAAGTAAAAATATATCACGAAACAGGTTCAAGAAAATGCATTTTCTTTAGGAGTATATGTAAACATTAACCTTATAAGCTAGTAGATAATTTTTTGTTAATTTTGGCGAGTGTTTTCATTTACCCCAAAGTTACTGTACAAAAACTCCACTTCGAATAGTTTATTTGACGTTTACTTTTGAAAACGCAGGTCTAATTCATTACATAATTTATAGCAACACATTAGTTAAAGAAAACAAATTGTTGAACAACAAATAACAGAGTATTTCACTAACAAGGCACTTTATTTTCAAAATGATAAAATATTCTCTCGTCTTTAATTTTAATTATGAGAACAGGTAGAACTCGCAATATTTGCTCTTGCGAAACAAAAGTAACATAACTTTGATTGAAGGCGAAATGTTGGTATGTTCCGTCAATAGATTTGAGAGCTACTACTTCAATGTCACTATCTTCTACAGAACGCAAGTATCTATGTATAGTCGTATTTCTTTTACCATCTGTGAATTTGACAAGAACAACAAGAGTGCTCTTCAGAGTGATAACTTCTTCGTTTTTGTTGAAATCTTCTTCCCAGGGGCTCACTGAACCACGTTTAAAGGATTCAATTGAATCATCGTCACTTGAGGAACTCTCTGCCTCTTCTTTTTCATATCTTCATTTTTTCCAGGCTTCTTCAGTCTCTTTGGCCTTTCCACTGTCTTTGATGGTACAGTGATTGATTTTTGTTTTTTGGTTTTTCGTTCTGGGCAGATAGTGCTGATTTGCGGCCTGGAATTGGAAAATTACTGCAATAGGTAAGTTTTGTTGTGGTTCTGAACATCTGTCACAGCATTAATGAGGTCTTCTTTTGTATATGCTGGCACATTTATCTTGCGCACATATTTTCGAAGCAATTGAAATATTTAAAAAAAATAAAAAGCGTGTTTACATTTTCCCCAAAATGATGTTTTACTTTTGCCCCATATTGCAAAATATCTGGGGCAAATATAAACACTCTTCAATTGTTTTAGTAATAAAAATGGAATATTTGAAACCAGTAAATAAGGAGAAAACAAAGCCTTAATAATCCTGAAAGTTCCACTTACTTTGATGGTAATTCATTTACATACACTTTTAACACTTGTGCTAAACAAAAAAACGAAATTTTTGCAGTGGTTTGAGAAGTACATGCATCGATCCAAACAAACTCGTCAAAACAACGTGATTCCTTAAGTACTAGTAGTAGTAGCAGCGTTGCAGTTTGGCGGTAAATTTAAACCCGTTTTAGGTAGCGTTTACAGTTGCCCCTGTTTACAATTACCCCGGTTGACCCTACTTAGCTGAAGTTTTCGAAAATAGTGTTTTTTCAAAAACTGTAGGACTATGCTGTATTGTTGATTAAGTCCGCAACATCCTGTATAATTGGACCTATCATAATTTATTCATCATAGCAATAAAATGTACACCACTGTGATACGATGTCTTCTTCCGTTGTTCTTCGCGACGGCACTGGCCGACGACCTCCTCGGCAGAGACCGGGAGGCGCAAATCTCGTCCAAGATAAGCGTTGGAGACGACAGTGTCGCGTTCCCCGGCCAGAGTCTCGACGGCGACGTTGTTGGCAAACAATTTCAGGTGGGTACTAGATCCGCTCACTATTTTTGAGGAATTTTCTCGAGAAGCGGCAACACCGCCCGCCAATATTTTCCACTATCCAGTTTTCGCAACTCGCAGAAATTGTAATTCGCCTATTGTAGGTGTCGCCGGAAGGCGGCACTTTCGACGCCGAGCAGCGTCATTATCCTGGGTTAGCCGCCAGTCCGAACCTGGATCAGCAATACGCCGAACCGTACACCATAGAATATAGGTACCACGATTTCGACCGTATGACGAGGTTCTTGAGGCAGACGACCGCGCGGTTCCCGTCGTTGACCGCGCTCTACTCCATAGGAAAGTCGGTGCAGGGTGCGTTTCTTCCCGGAAAGCCCTTATAGAGGTAATGTGTAACGTGGAGGGGGTTGCTTTCAGGTAGGGACCTGTGGGTAATGGTGGTGTCCGCCTCTCCTTACGAGCACATGATCGGAAAACCGGACGTCAAGTATATCGGCAATATCCACGGCAACGAGGCGGTCAGTCGCGAGCTGCTGCTCCAGCTCGTTCACGTAAGGGCTCTTTATTTTAAATATTTAAATATATAATATATAAATAAATAAGGAAATTTATTGGTGACTCGTTATTAACATTCACGTTTCCAGTACCTGGTGACAAGTTACAGCACTGATCCGTACATACGGTGGCTGTTGGACAACACTAGGATCCATATAATGCCTTCGATGAATCCGGATGGTTACGAAGTGTCGAAAGAGGGCGCTTGCGACGGCGGCCAGGGAAGGTACAACGCGCGCGGTTTCGACCTGAACCGCAACTTTCCGGACTACTTCAAGCAGAATAATAAGAGGACCCAGCCGGAAACGGAAGCCGTTAAGGAGTGGGTGTCCAAGATACAGTTCGTGTTATCGGGAAGTTTGCACGGCGGCGCCCTCGTCGCCAGCTATCCTTTCGACAACACTCCGAATTCGCGTGAGTCGTCTCGCCACTATTAAAACCGCTACAAGCAGTATAACACAGTCTGTGTTTACTACCGACAGGGCATAGATCACTAGCACATTATAGTCTGTACTTACTTAGCACGGAGCACAGTCGATAGAATATGCTTAGTGACTATCCAATCCCCTAACGTCAACGATCGGTGTCAAATGTCAACAATCCAATAGTTTTATTGGCGGCGGTGCTAAATTTTGGTATACAGGGTTATTCATGGTGAGTGTCCTATTAGACGTTTATGGATAATAACTTACGGTAAAAACCTGAAATGTTCGCTGCGAATATGAGCTACTTATGTAGAATATTTTTGGCCATGGGGTGTTGCCAGATATACTCGTAACGTATATCAACTTTCGTTTTTTAAATGGACCACCCTATATATTATTACATTTTTGTATTCTGCGAAACATTCTGGAACTTTTTTATGTAACATGTCTATCTGAAACATTTTCGGAGATAAAATATACTTTCTAACAAATTGGCAACAAACAACTCGATATAAAATAATATTTATTTTCGCAACCCGTACAGTTTAAACACTTGAATTTTTGGTTGCGGCTCCCTATTAAATTGCTTTATCATAATATAGTATCAGAATTAACTTATCGCGTACAGGGCGTTCATAAGGCCCAATTCACAAGATATAAAAATCCATGCTACGTGAGCAAATAATTTGCCGTCTAAAAGCTATTTTCACTGGGTTTCCATATAAGCAAAAAAACCAAAATATTGCAATTAAAGCGAATTAAAGTAACCACATTTCATCTGGGTAGTAGGCTCTGGCCGGCGGTTTTTCGTAAACAAGTTTGTCTTTTACATAAATAAGCTTAATGTTCCGATATTAGCGTGTTCAAAGGAGTAATTCTAACAGTGAAACTGGAAGGAAAGACATATGACAACAAAAGTTTAATATTCATAGAAACTGTTATACACCAGACTAATGTTAAAGACTAATAAACGGTTTTGAATTGTTTTAATTACATACAACAAGATATTTGCTCTAAGACATCCATAACTTCATAACATTGGAAACTGTTGCCCTTTGAATTTCGTTTGGATTTCGTGTTGAGAAACTTCTATTGTTCCAACTGGGGTTTTAGACAATTTTTTTTCAACCTGTGTAATATCTGACGAACGTGGTGGCCAATTCCATGGACCTAGACGCCTTATCCATCGGTTTTGAAATATGATTATAAGTTCTTGACTTACTCTATTTGTGCGATGAGCCGCAGCTCTATCAAGTTGGTTGGTTGGTGATGTAACGCTAATGGCAAATTAACTAAAAAATCTGTGACTGCTACAAAAATCTATTTTATCGTCCATCATCAAACAAAATACTTTGAAACTAAATGTATGTTGAAATCGATTTTCTCGTAGAAATTTTGGATTTTCTGATGACCAAAAATGATTATTCGTTCTATTAAGAATACCCTTCCGCGAAAATTTTGACTCGTCGGTCCAAATAATTCTTTTCAAAAAATCTCGATATTCTATCACGAGGGAGAAGAGATTGTAATGTAATTATTTTGTAATTGTGCATATTATGTTTCGTCAGTATCCGTTGAATGGACGAATAAGATATGCCTAAATAATATTTAGCGCTGGAAATAGATGCATTTGGAAGTGCGTGAAAATATGCTAAAACGTTGGTTTTATTTTCTCCTGAGCAATAGGTTGGTAGATTTCGAAAATTTTCTTCAATTCGTTTAAACTTTTTCTCATACATCGGTGGCAAATGCGGATATTGTTCATTAAATCTTCTGCACGTTCTTGAAACAATTCTTTGACACTCACCATAAATGTAAAACTAATTCAAAATTTCTTCCTTTCTCAAATAAGTGCAACTTTTAACTATGAAAATGCACTAATCCGAATGCATCTAAACTTGTCAGATATTTTTTTACTGGAAACGTCACCATAGCCGGCTAGAGCCTACTACCCAGATGAAATGCTGCTTATAACCCGAAAACCGGTGAAAATAGATATAGTTTGGATAGTTTGGTACTTTTAGATGGCAAAATAATTGTTCATTAGCGTACCAATATAAAATATGGGACCAGAATGCAAACATTATATACAGGGTGTTCAATTTAAAAAAATAATGTTGATATACGTTACGAGTATATCTGGCAACACCGCATGGCTTAAAATATTTTACATACCTAGCTCATATTCACTTACATAAGTAACCAACATTTCAGGTTTTTACCGTAAGTCATTCTTCATAAACGTTTAATAGGACACTCACAGTGAATAACCCTGTACTTCGCTTTAACGACCGGTTTAACATCACTTTGACTTATTTGTCTTCCGATTTTTCGGGCTCGCAAGGAGTGTGCGCGTCGTCGGTCCTTTGCGCCCGTGAGTAGCGCAGCGGCGATTGTAAATCGTCAATTTACGTGGTTGCGTTGCTCGTCTGTTTCAGTGTTTACTTCGTACGCGTCGAGTCCGTCCCTGACCCCGGACGATGACGTCTTCAAACATCTCGCTCTGACGTATTCGACCAACCACGCCAAGATGAGTCGCGGGGTGTCGTGCAAATCATCGCAGACTTCGTTTAAGAGGGTGAGATCACGCTTTTCCGCCCGTCTCCTCCACTCAAAAAAAAATCTATAGGGCATAACGAACGGGGCCGAATGGTACCCCCTGACGGGGGGCATGCAAGATTATAACTACGTGTGGTACGGGTGCATGGAGGTGACCTTGGAAGTGTCCTGTTGTAAGTTCCCGCCCGCGCACGAGCTGCCCAAATACTGGGAGGACAACAAGGCGGCCTTGATCAAGTATCTGGCGGAGGCGCACAGGGGCGTGCACGGATTTGTAGCCGATGAGGGCGGCAATCCCGTCGAGAAGGCGTCGCTGAAAGTAAAAGGTCGAGACGTCGGTTTCCAGACAACCAAGTACGGCGAGTTTTGGCGCATCCTGCTGCCCGGCGTCTATAGACTCGAGGTGAATTTTTTTTTAGTAATAAAAAATAAAATTTTATAAAAGCAACAATAACTAAGCAAAAAATAACAATAACAACCTTTTTAAATGCAACGTATTTTCATTAACTTGTTATTATGCATTTAACTCTTTTATACACAGACTTCTTAATACACCACTCTCAACAGAAAATTACAATAAAGAACTTAATATCATTAAATAAATTGCACTGAACAACGGCTACAATCCGTCCATTATAGATAAAATTATAAATAAAAAGAAATACAGACAACAGTAAACTCTATTTATCCGAAACCTAATACAGAACACGAACAATTTAAAACAATTACATACATAGGAGAACCTAGTGAAAGTTTCAAAACATCTGTCAAAATGTGGTTTAAAAATAGCTTTCAGAACTAACAAGACAATAGGAAAATATTTAAAAAAGAAATAAAACGAAATGTCCAAAAGCCCAAAAATCAGGTGTCTACAGGTTGAAATGCGGATCTTGTCCTAAAATTTATATTGGACAAACAGGTAGATTCTTCAAGAAACGCACATAAAAGAGCGTTTAAAAACAATAGTCTAGATTCTAATTATGCTACACACTTAAACACAGAAAAACACATTTTTGACGACAATTTTGATATTTTACATACAGCCACAAAAAGTAGAAAATTAAATTTATTGGACGCCATGGAGATTAACAAAATGAGACATTCAAATGTATTGCTTAACGATCAATTAGATTTAAATACCTCTCCTTTATTGAACTTAAATTCTCACAACATTAATTAAGGTTTTATGGTCATTTTTCCGAAAATATAGTAGCAGGTAGTTTGTAAATATTACATTTGATAAACACAGGGTGTTGTCGAAACAATTGTCATGAAAATCTGAACTTTTAGTTCTTATTTATTTTGTTATTTAATATGTATTTTTAATTTAAATAAATAAATAAATAAAAATATCTAACTTTTTATCTAAACATTTCTGTATTTTTTATAGTTTTCTTTAGCAAAAATAGTAAAAAAGTATGTATATGTATGTATAGAAAGGTTTGTTCTTTTGGTGTTTTTGTAATATGTATTTGTATTGTTGCTTCTTAAAGTATTCTAGAAGAAAAATTGCTAGAAATATTTGTTTTTGATATTTTTTTTTGTTAGGGATACGATTTTTTTTTAAAGTCATCAAAAAACATTTGTTGCAAGAACAAAAATGGGCTTATGTTGGTTTCAGGTGTATGCAGACGGTTACGTGCCAAGGGAGGTGGAGTTTATGGTGGTCGAGCAGCACCCCACCCTGCTCAACGTCACTCTTCACGCGGCCAAGGTAAATCGAAACGTGAGGGGGTGAGGGGGTTGTAAATACATAAAGGGGCGACACTTAACGCTATTTCTTCGGTGATGGACCTCCGCCGTATGTAAATATTCCCGTTACAGTCCTGGCAGCACTTCGAGCCTCTGGCAACGTCGCCGCCGAAGCCGGTCCTGGCTTTGGACGGACTACCGCCCAGCAAGGACGCCCTTAATTTTCCCAAAGAGTAGTTGTACACCGTCGGGCCGTCCGCCATCGCGCGCAACAGCTGTAAATACCGACCGCTTTTTCCCTCATCTTTGAAAACTGTCCCGCATAATCAACACACTGAAAACAAGATACACTATACTATACGTTTGGCAACGTGGCGCCCGCGATTCGATCGCACGCCATAGTTTTGCGTGTGCTGCTAATTTCCATGGTCTGTGTGAGCACTTGGTCCGCCACGAGTACGTAAGTTGAAAAGAAAATTTGAAAATTCCCCAAAAAAAAAACTTTCTGTCGTTCATTACCCTCACTGACTCTAGCTATTGAACATTATAGGTAAAAGAATACTAAGTTTTTTTTTACTTACTATTTTGTTTGGCCTTGCAAGTCAGGCAATTTGGCAAGCCTTCAAATATTGGTAAATATATTTCAAAATTCCTAAAGGATGCCCTCGTATAGAAGGGTCTGAACTATTCCATCATCCTTCAGGTTTGTTAACATACTCATATAGTAGAATAAACTTCTAAATAATTTGTCATAAAATGACGACCGATTCATCTAAAGGCTCCTGCGGGATATCCGATCCCATCAGATATCCGGAAGCCGAGCAATACATTATACAAATCCATAGAGATCCACACAAAACAAGCACCAATTCACAAAACTATACACACTACGCCTCTAACAATTTAATTGAAAGGTGTACCAAACAAAATTTTTTCCAAAGGACATAATTTTTCAACCAATTTCTAACTTTTTTGGAACCGGGCTGAAACAAACGTGCAGTGGTTCCTCGTCGACCAATCATTATTAAGGTTAAGTGTAGAGTTGTGTCAAACGCGATTGATTGGTCACTTCATAGGATCGAACGACCGAATCCCGCATGTTAGTATCGATTCGATCACATTGTTCACTCTCGCTGCCGCCCTGACCGGTCTGAAGTCACCAAATACAAGACGAACGATCGCCCTACCGTACCAAAACAAATCGAATTCGCCTTGCGGAATACGATTGATTTGAATGGTTTAAGATTGAAATGCATCACTGAGACAGGCCACGGAAAAGGAATGAGGGTATTGTTATAATTATTCTGTAATATTGAGTTGCGACATCGATTAGTAGATTTGCTTATGTGTTGAATTGAATATTGAATGAAATATCTATTTCCACACAGGCATTTAATTTAAACAAATTAATGTATTACTGGTACAACCCAATAAGTAGCACCTATTTTGATAAAATCATGATGCAATAAAAAGCAGAATACAGCTAAATATTATACTAACTAAAACAGCAAACAGAAAATATAGACACAACAATAATTAAAATTTAAATGAATCTGAATCGGTCGTTCGTACTATTCGAATTCGGTGACTGTTGCCGCTTATGTTGGCAACAAAAAGTATTGAAATGATTCGGTCCTTTTCGAAATAAGTCACTGATTGATTCCGTCCTCGGTAAAATGAACGATTGGCATAACACTAGTTAAGTGTAAACTAAATATAAAAACTTGGAAACATGAAAACAGAGCCGCTACACGCTAACCTGGGGAACTATTTCAAGAATGGGGATTATGAATAGAACAAATTCCTTTAATATCAACTAAACATGCGGGGTTCATTTAAATACATTTATTATCTGTATTAAATGCCCCAGCTTGAATATAAATCATTTAAACCATCTTGAGCTGAGTTAAAACTTTTAATGTTAGAGTTTGGAGGATATCTAATTACTTTAGGGTAGTTTTTGAGTGTTATTGTTTGGTAAACGAAGAAGGAGGAGTATCGAGTCATTTAATCGTTAGGAACGAGAATTTGACGTGGTACCAGATTTTCGAGTTGTTCCGTTGCCCCGATTTTAGACCCTGTCTAGATTCATGCAACAAAAAAGCTTTTTTGACGTTCACGTGTTATTTCAATTTGATTCAAACTGACGCTTAAAGGTATGTTGCATAAACCACAGACCATGGTTGACTAGGATACCGTGCCACGTTGTCGAACTTATGAAAAAATCGTCAAGTTGTAAGAGCGCTGCTTTTTTTCCTTAGAGAAAAGATGGCAATTACTACCGACCGCAGCAGCAATCGACGTTCAGTCGACCCCACTACCACGCTACTAGACCCGTCCCCCAAGAGAGTAATATATTTTCGTCAATCAGTAGCGGAATATCTAACGTATTTAACTATTTTGGTTAACGGCGGAATGTCTAACCGAAATACACTTAATCGCAAGTCTTGCCACGTAGATCAAATTCGGAAAAAAATTGACGACAATCCCCCTCGGCAATAAAAAAAATCCTCGAGTTTTAGTTCCCTTTCTCAGGAAATCGAGCAAATTTACTATTTATATCCCTTTTATTTTTATACGATTTTTTAGTCATAGAATACTTTATTTATTTGTTTGTTTTCACAATAAAAAGTGATCGAAAGCTTACGTTTTTTATTTCATTGTCGCCTGTCGCGCGATCCGACAACTCCGACATTTAAGTACAGGCGAATATGTTTTTTATTGAATCAAACACGCCGAATCTTGACCGATTCGAGTTCCGGCCGGTTTGTTTCGATGTTTCGAAGCTGGAGGAGCAGAATTCGAAACCAGCTCAGCCTTGACCACTGACATTTGTTTCTCCATTTCGAGCGACGTCATCGGCACGCCGAAAAACTTCGACAGCAGCTCGACGAAGCACGCGTTTACCTATAAACCAACGGGAAAATTCAACCTTGCTGGGCTTTTCTAGATTGTCGCTCACATTTTCCCCCGTTTTCGCAGACAGGAAGTAGTTGCTCAGTCGGTTCTCGTACATGAAACTATTCGTCTTGTCCAGTCGCACGCCTCGCTTGTGTTCCAAATCGCCTAAAACAGACACTGCCATCTAACGCGATGGTACCAAAACCAAGACCGATCGTTCACGGCGGCCACGATAGATGGCGACGCTTACATTTGTTTCCGAAAACGGACATGACGACCCGCCTTTCGCCGGCGTTTAAAATTGCAACACTCGTTTTCAGCCAGGTCGCTAGCGAGTCGAAGCTCGAGCAAATGGTGATGTCGTAAACAAATAAGACGATCTGAAAACAAACCCCGCGGAAATCTTGTCGGGCATAGGTTTGCACCATAGAGAAAACTAATAAAAAGAGAGGGTCAGATTAAATTTAAATAATCGGCGTTCCATTATACTGTGCCTGTAGCGCAACTTGGAATTTCCCAAATTTGAACAAATTGAGTTTCGACTTATGTTTGCGTTTCCGTCTTTATCTCTACCAACTGAGATAATTGAAACGGGTAGTTATTGATCCGAATCACAGATTACTAGTATTCTGTGTCTCAATTGACACAAAAACTAAAAACTTGCAAGTTTAAAGCAAAATAACTATTTTAATATTATTGTTTTGTTTGATACTGCGGTTTCTATATGCACCGTTTAGTTTGTCATATTGCAGGACTCCAATAATTTGATTTGTTTAAATTTCTTTTCTTCTAATTATCTCCTTTTTAAATAATTTAAATCCAATCACTTTTTTGCTCAATTATGCGTGTAAATTGCATATTTATATATGCACATGTACAGTGTGTCCATATTTTTTATGGTCTTTGCATTCTGAAACACCCGTTGTAGATCGGTTATGAAGTAGCGTAGTCAGTTTTCTTGTGAATCTCACAAATTTACAACTCTACTTTTTATTAGTTTTATCTGTGGTTCGTACACGGCGAGCGAGAAACTTTTAATCGCCAAAAATTTCGCGCGCGCAACTCTGTAGGACTTACGTCCGCTTTGAAGAGGTAATGCTCGAGCATCTTGGTGTTTTGCTCGGCCCCACCGGTGTCCGTAATTTGCACGGTGATCTCACCTTTGCCGGGCAATTCGACCCGTTTTATGTAAAAGTCGGCACCCGCTGTCGGGGCGTAGTGCCGCGAGAACTCGTCGTAGCAGTACTTGCGAATTATACACGTCTGCAACAGAACAAAAATCAATCAAACACGTAAGATTAGAAATGTTAACATTTCCTAAGTGTACTCACGGACCACAGAACCGAGCTTGGTAGCAGAGCAATTAATTAAAATTTTGAATGATCGTTATAAAATATCGCCAACGCTATTCGTACAGTAAAACTTAGTTTTATGCAATTATAGAAAATAGTTTAAAGCAATTGTGTTCAGAAAAATGGTTGTGATATCTGCGCACTACTTAATAAACGATTGATGCACGTTGGGTAGCCTCAGTCGCAGAAAATTGAATTTGGTCAGTATTCGTGGTTAAAGAGTCTATTATAGGGAAACGTTTTGGCCCATATTTCGAGTTCCCTACCTTGCCGACGTTCGGTTCGCCAAGCACGACGATCTTAATCCGATTATCCGCCCTTTCGCAGACGCCCTCGTCGTCTGAATCAGACATTCCCACTCTCTAGAGTGTATCCCAGCCGTAAGTCGCGGACGAATTACCATCTGAAAAGCGTGCTGCTTTAAATCGGATCCGCCCCGAAGGGATTTTAGAAGAATAAGCCGCGGTGCGTTTAAAATTCATGGCGGATGCAATGATGCATATGCAAAATGTTTGCAGGCTCCACGTATATATAGAATGCACTCGGGTGCCATATACGACACTCCGGCGATTCGTTTTCACCGAGAAACGTCGAGGATGGTTCGCAACGATCGTGAAAGTTTCCCTAAAACGCGGGCCTGTATTTTTATGCTCGTATTGAGCGACGTTTTAGTGAACGGTTGCCTGATTACCAACTGCAACAAGGGCGGCAAACGCAGCGGGAAATTCGACCTAGCGGAGGGCTTTAAGTCGGTAAGTACTCGCTTCAAAACGTGCCGCCAACTCGGGTGTTACCTGACAGATGGCGGGCCGCTCAATTTACGTGTTGCTGTTCTGTGCCCAGTTGTGTGATTTTGGTCATTACAGTGCGTATCATGCGGACCGAATAACGCGGGCAAGTGCTTCGGTCCGATGGTGTGTTGCGGCCCGTTCGGTTGCCTCATAGGCACCCCGGAATCGCTGAAGTGCCAAAGAGAGGGGCAGTTTCATGAGAAAGAGCCGTGCGTCGCAGGTTTTGCTAATTGTAGGAAAAACACGGGGCGTTGCGCCACCGACGGTGTATGCTGCAGTCAAGGTGACGCGGTCTTTTAAACAGCGGGACGCATGTAACAATTTTTCTTTCGCAGAATCGTGCCACATCGACAAGCAGTGTTCGCTCGTCGAGGATAAACGCATTCTTTTGGACGCCAACGCATTGGACTTATACGGTTTTTACATGAACGAAGCTGTGGTTTAGACTGCCAGCGCTTTTACTCACCGGACATCGTCGCGCCCAGACACCACCACCAGACTATGGATTTTTACCCGATTAGCGTAAAAATGTCTCCAAGACAATAAAACTCTGGAATACAAACATAACCTCGTGTTTTAATTTTGCTGTTGGCGACCCTGACGATCGTCATTTTCAAAGCCTTCGTCGATTTGCCCTTAACCAATTCTTCTTTTTAAAATTCACATGAAAAAATAATCTAGGAAGCGCTAGTGGAGGAAGGGGGACAATCTTCGAAACTTTATATTTCCAAATAGTTTTTCACACATTTTTAGGAATAAATTAGAGCGAGACTACTTTAATTAGAACGAAATCAGACACGCTTAACTTCTACTCTTAAAAAATCACTCCGCCACTTTGAGGTTCTGTATACTGTCCGACACTTTATCGAGTTCAATGTGACTACCGAAACGGACACCATTCGCATCTGTTTCATTGGCGGCGACCAGACTCTCTAAGGATTTCGCTTTCTTCAGCTGAGTAACCTCAGCAAACGATTCACTAATGCACTCATCCACTATAACCTGTGCCAGCGTCGACGTCGCGTCGCTATCGTTATTCTCTGACTTCGTCCGGTGCCGTTCCCTATGAGGTACTTTGTAGGGTATAAATCTTGCGTGCGGAACCGTCGGCCTGACACGAAAACCAATCGATACATTACTGACGTATCTTGTATTTATCGTGAGCATATTTAGGTAGTTACTGGTCTTGACTTCATTGAGGTATTCGCGACGAGAATTGGTAGACGAAGCCAACATACCAAGCTCGTGTAATGCCGAATCTAGCTGGCTTTGACACGGCGGTGACGCCTGAAACAAATCATTTGTTGAGCACAAAACGGATGAGCTGAGGTTAACCTCCGCAGCAAAAATAAAAATACAAATACCTCGAAGCACTCATCCGACCTCATTTTCGGAACTGTTTGTTTGTTTATATCATATCATGCGCTATCACAACAGTCACATCACAGCCTCAAACGACAGTCGTAATTTTATCGCCTAACTGTCACAACGTTACACGCCTAACCTAATTCGGAGCCTTGTTGAAACAAGACGCCCGATAGGCCAGATGTCGAAGCAGACGAGGACGGGAGAAGTTCATTTCCATAGAAAAATAATCAATATTGTATTTCTACTCTTCTTCCTTTGGCGATAAAAACGGGCCATTTGCCAGGACGTAGTCAAAACTTTATTCTAAGCTTAGAATTGTTGTGTGGGCGACATCTGCGTCTCGGTAGTCTATTTTATTTGAATTAACGACGAAACAAGGTAAAGAGACCTTTCCGTTTTATCGACTAGCTTAGTAATAATTGTTGAATTCATTATTGATCGTGTGGATAAAATAAGCAACCGTTTGGTTGCTAATACGAGAGGCAGCGATATAGTACGCAATATCCCGGCCTCTACCGATAATCCTTCCCATAAAGTAAATGTTATGCGGTTCGAGTTTATTCTGCTAGCCCGCGGTTTTGCGTAAATTTTAATCCGCGTTAAATGACCAAATACAGACCCATCCCCCAGCGAATAATACCCCGACTGTTTTAAAGCTTGGTCATTAACCCAGGATTATATATCGGAAGGGAAATTTCGGATATATTACTTTTCGACGGATTAGCCGCTCTACAAGCGGCAATTTGAAATTTCGATGACGTCACCCGAATGCTCGGCCGTCGGTGTACACGTACGATCCCTCGTTATAAAGCAGTCAATTAAAGCCAATCAAGAGGGATTACAATCAATGCGCCTTTTCGACGGCACAATCCGATGGGTATATCGACAAACGTTGGGGTCCGCGTGTATTTTTGACGCTAATCGGATAATAGCATGCTAACAGTTTCAGTCAATCACTCGCCAGACGACTCGATCGTTTTTAATGTCAAATAGAGACTCGAACCGGTTGCGTGCCTCTGTTTACTTTTACTCGAAACGCAAATCGCGAGGCATCCTGCGTGACACGCGCCTAACTAAATTAATTACAACATTCGTTCTCGCGTTGATGTTTCAGCGGTTGCATAATCGAAGCACGGATGAACGAATTACGACGACTTAACAGCAATTAAGAAGACTAAACTTACCCGTTTTGGAAAGACGTTTTCACTGTATCAAATTCTAAAATTCTATTTTGCACATCAATCGAGGGGTAGTCGATCGGCGACGCGGCGATTTGTATTCCGCGGCGGAGTTTACAGTGCGGCGAAACGACACGCGAGCGAAGAAAATCTCGATGAAGTACATAAAACTCGCCAAACTTCGTCTCTCTGTGGTGTGCAAAGTGAAAATAGAAGTTTGCTCTCGTTTTATTGCGGAATAACTTCAAAAATGCAGCGGGCAGCGGCAACTTTTATCCCGGCTTTGCGCGATGTCGTGTTTTATTTATCGAATACGAAAGCACGCACGTAGAACTCGCGAGTGACCGTCGAGAATACGGCTTTTGCCGGTTCGACATTTTATTGAAATATTAAAATTTCGCGGTTTTATTTTTAAACATTGAATTATGTGATATTGTGCTTCGTATGCCTTTGTGCAGGTGACGGTCATATCCACCAGCTTGAACCTAAGGTACTTAATTCTTGAAAACGCTGCCATGAAGACGTCATTCCAAGAAGCATGCGATAAAGCTTGCAGCTTGAGATGCTCTCGGAGCTCCGAGAGTGTGTCGTGGGTTCTACGGCGGTAAATAAGGGCCAAATTTGAAAACTACCAAAGTTTTACTGAACGTAACACTACAAATTTCTAAAGAAACAATAATAACCACGGGACTTTCTTTATCCCCAGGAACTCCGTCTTCCGCCCGTCTCCCCACCCTACACGAACCGACTTTTTAATAGGGGATTGCAAATATGCCTTGTTGCCGCACTTCACTCTTAATCGCGCACCGCATTCCCCCCTATTAAAACTATACATATGGTTTAACAGATGCTAGAGTTTTAATACCGTTCTAGCAATTAAAATAAATGACAGTGTCCAAACAAAGAAAATAAATTATGATTATTATTATCGTTAAATTATAAGTGGCTAATGAAGCAAATTTGCTTCAGGCATGGGTTTAAATTTCTTTAAATTTATGATATTATGCGGACCCAAATATTGTCCGACATCGTCTATCAATAAATAAGAATTTGACCCCTTCCTTTCAAACGCCTTGTACGGACCTTCGTATAATAGGAAAAACTTTTTAATTTCTGCATTCTCAGCTGACGACTGAGCGTGGGTTCGAACTAAGACTAAATCCCCTTGATTAAACACAACAGATTTTTTTCTTTTATTGAAAGCTAATTCCTTGCGTCTCCTTTTGGAAAGTAAGCGTTCCTTGGCTAATATCCAAAACTGAGTCAAATCATTGCACGGGTTTTCATTGGAAAACGGGAAATCTAAAATACTCATTATATTATTAGGTTCGTGTCTACCGTTAAAGAGGAAACTAGGTGTGAAACCGGTGGCTTCGTGGAGCACATTATTTATACAATGTTCTACGTTGCCCAATACAGCAGCCCATTTAGTATGTTTAGCAAAACAAAATGTGCGAAGAAGACCGCCAATTTCTTTATTGACTCGCTCTGTAGCGTTTCCCTGTGGAAAATATACCGAGGTAAATATTTGCTTCACTTGATTCCGACCAAGACAAGATTTATAAACTTGTGAATGAAATTGTGTTCCGTTATCACTTAATAACATTTTCGGCTTTTGTACTTCAGTAAAATATTTGTTCTCGAGTTTAGTCACAATAGCCTGCGCAGAGGCTTTTCTTAAAGCCTTAGAATAGCGTGAAAAATTATCAACTATAACCAACAACTGGGTGGCACGAAAACGAGATGGCGGCAACGGTCCCATAAGATCTAAAGAGGCCAAATCCCCGGGCTTTTCAGTACTAATCGAGTTAAATTCTCCTACTAGTTTTTTTGAAACTTTAGCTTTCTGACAGAGTTCACAACAGGCTATCACTTGCCGAATATGTTTAAGCATTTTTTTCCAATAAAAGGTGCACTGCATGTGCGCAAATGTCTTTTTATAACCAAAATGTCCAATATCTGCATGCTGCTGCTTAATCAGACTAAGGATTTGACTCTTTGGTACGCATAATTTATAACCAGGATTAAATTCATTACCTTTCTTGAAAAGTAAATTATGATGCAGTTTATACCGCTGATGAAAACGCTCATTGTCAGAATTATTACCATTTAGACCCTCTATAATCTTAAATAAGGCGGGATCCTTCATTTGATCTGATCGCAAAGTTTTAAAATCGTCCTTAATTAGTTTAAATTCTCGTGTTAAATTTAACATAAATATGTTAACTGATAGAGCACAATCTTGCCTTACGAGCCCTCTTTTTTTGGCAATTGGGACTCGCGACAAACTATCCGCTCCCACATTCTCAGAACCCTTGCAATAAACTATTTGAAAATCAAATTCTTGCATATACATGGCCCAACGTCTAATACGAGATGTTTTTAGTGAACAATGCATAATATAAGATAAAGCTTTGTGGTCGGTCACTATAAACAATGACCGCCCTACTTCAAAAACGCGGCACATTCTTAAAGCATCTACAATCGCATAGGCTTCTTTTTCTGTAACCGTATAATTTAACTGCGGACCCTTCAAAGTTTTGCTATGATACGCAACAACTAAACGCTCCTTGGAATCCGACATCTGATATAAGCAAGCTCCGATAGGTTTCCCCGAACTATCCGCTTGTATATAAAATGCTTTTTTGAAATCGGGATGATTTGCCATAGTAATGTTTAAATATTTATCCTTGATTAACTCAAACACGGCATCTTGTTCATTACTCCAAGCCCATTGAGTGTTTTTGCGTAACAATTTTACAAGCGGAACTGTTAAATCGGCAAAATTTTCACAAAACCTACGATCATAGTTTACTAACCCGAGCAAACCCCTAAGTTCGCGAATATTTCGCGGCTTTGGAAAATTTTTAATAGCTTCTATTCGATTGGGATTTATTTCTATACCATGAGGCGAAATTATATGTCCGACAAATTCAGTTTTAGATTTAGCGAATGCGGATTTTCGCAACTTAATTGTCAAATTAGAGTCGTAAAATTTCTCAAAAATAACAGATAAGTGTTTTAAATGAGTTTCAGCATCTGGTGAAAATATTAACATGTCATCAACATAAACAAGAGTAAAAGATAACACTTCGGGTCCGAGTAATTTGGACAAACCCCGTAAAAAACTTGCCACCGAAGTCTATAGACCAAAAGGCAAAATATTAAAATAGTATGTTTGATTATTAAATAAAAATCCGGTAAAACACAGAGGTTCCTTACCAATTGGTATTTGCCAATAAGAAGCCGTCATATCCAAAGTCGACAAAAATAGCCCACTTTGAAAACGTGACAACAATTCGTCCATTCGCGGCGGGAGAATATGAAATTTTTCCATTTTACTGTTTAAAAATCGAGGGTCTAAACATATCCGAATAGATTTGTCCTTTTTTATCACAACTGTTAAAGGCGATACATATTCTGTTTGTCCCTGTTCTATAATACCCATTTCTACCATTTCATCAATTTGATGTTTGGCCTCAGCGCGGTGCGCCAATGGAAATGGGTAAGAAGCTTTAAAAAATGACGTGGAGTCGCGCATTTTTATTTCGTGTTCACATTTCGTTGTTAGTCCGGGCGTTTCAGAGAAAATTTGACTAAATTTGCTTAATAGTAAATATAATTTATCTTTATGTTCTTGATCAAATACGTCTGATTTGTTTGCTACGTCTCTTAGTTCCAAATCTGTATAACAATGTCGTTTCTTTTTCTTATCCTGCAATGAGTCAAGATGAATCTGATTTTTACTTTGTTTTTCAAATTTAATTGGTATTTGCATTGTTCGAGTACCAATGCAAATCAGCATTCGGTCAAAGTCTACTTTGACCTTCTCCGCCCTCATCCAATCTGTACCTAAGATTAAATCCTGATTTAACGTAGGCACTACTATACAAGAAATGTCAAATTTTTCTTTTACAATTTCAACTGGAAGTAAAACCTGAACTTTTACCTTAATACTTTTCCCTCCAAAAGCAGCAGAAATGTT